GCTCCACAACATTTTATGTTTGTGGGGGAAATACATGTCAACTTCATTCTAAGAATTTCTGCTTTGGGATTTTATATATGAAGCCTAAATTTTGATAGTATTCCTGCTTAACATGGCTTAGTATATTCTGACAGTACTTAGTATACACCACAACCCTTTGCTGTGGTCTGTGAGCCTGTGTGGATCTAGCTCTTAGCTCACTGCTCATAGGGTTGTCCCCATTCAATCATAATGTTAGTCGCATCCATGTTTGATGTCAACGTTTAGTGAAGCCAAGCCTTTCCCTGTCTCCAGACCACAACACTAGCTCTTCCCTCTGCCCAGAACTTCTTTTCCCACTTCATCTTGTTTCTCCTTCCGTGTGCTCATGCACAGACTCCTCTCTGGCTTTCACTCTTAAAGACACCACCTCAGGTAGGTCTTCCATATTAGTCTCATGCTGGCATGCTATGAATTTCCTTCTCTCATGGGCTGGCTAGGTAGGTAGGTGCTTAACATCCACCTTGCCCCAGTCCAACTGTGGTGAACCTGTGACAAACCCATGTGAGCTGTTTGTAAAACTGAAGGCTCTAAAAGGTTTGTCATCGCTGTCCTACACTATTGGACAGAGACTCCTCCAGCTAGTTCGCTGCCATATCCCTGGCACCTCATACAGTGCCTGACACTCAGTAGATGCTGAGAAGTATCTGTTGGTGTTGCAGAACACTGATAACACCAAGGGATAAAATTCCCTCTTACCCTAAATGAAATTCTTAGGAATTCTCAGAAACATTTTTTTAAACTAATATTTCTACTGTGTAAAAAAAAATCACCTATATAAAATAGCCCTTAGTACTCTGTGGTTTAGGAGTACGAAATAGGTGGAAAAAAGAAAGTTATATTAAGTTTATGTAGAGGTGGTAAATGTAAACAAAGCCATTCACTGACATGTTAAAGCCCCATTTCCAAAGATACATTCTATTTTTAATGTGTAGGCTAACATTTGATGGAATGTATGACCTTAATTATAACATACTAAGTTGCTAAAGTCAAAGTCTTGATAAAAGAATTTGAAACTTCCCTAAGGCAGCCATTATAGTGATGTTTCTATTATCCATGAAGATGGCCATTTCATGATTTTTTTGCAAGGAAAAGGGTCACAGTGTTTAAACTTTAAACGCATCTCCCTCTGCATTCTTTCGTGCTATAGTAATACTGGACGGACCCCAGTAGCACTTCACTTGTTTTACCTCAACTCTCCTGTGCTCACTTACTCATAATTGCCTGAACAGTATTCTATGTCCATGGCATTTTTCTCTCAACCACCTGCAAAAGACAGGAAATAATCTGAAACAGAAATCTTCCACTTAGGTGTTAACTAATTATGCCTTCTTAGACAATAAGCCTACCACAAGTGACCTGCCTTTTAACAGAATGTACATGAGATGAAAGGGACTTAAGATTAATCTCTAGTGATAAAATTCCTGTCCTCATCAAAACAACTACAAAAATACTTAGGGGGAAATATAGAAGGATTTTTGGTACTTTCTGGATGACCCTAGAAGTTAGAACAGGCCCATAGAAAAACTGAAGAAATGTGACCAACCTCTGAGTTCTCAGAAATCTTTGCTAAATCATAATTTAATAAGTGGGGCCCACTTGGGTTTACCAGAATGCCAGTTGAGGTCACTAGCAATAGACATTGATCAGGCATTTAAGGGAGAAAATGGGGAGCTTAAAAACTAATTGATCACTTTACCTGGAAATATGCTCAATGCAGCAGCCACTTTTTAATTCATCATAGTCTTATAGCAAGATTACTGACTATAAAATCCTGAAAATAATAGCTACGGCTAGAGAAACTGTTAGAACAGGTATTTATTTTAATGGTTTAGGGATTCTTGGTCATTCATTTTCAACTATTTCTAATGGAAGTCTTAAAATAATTGAATTCATCCCCCTTTCTGTAATTTGAGTACACTGGAAAGGCACAGGTGGGCTCATAAATTGTTGGTGTTCACAAAAGGGTAATCTATCACCCCGAGCCTCATGCACGCTATGTTAGGGGGTGAAAGGCATGGACTATGAGTTATCACCTACAGGACAGCATCCTGCATCTTTACATCTCACCTTGACAGGGTTTTCTACATAGCCTTTGTATTATTTATCCTGGCATGTCATTCATGATAAAAGATACTTTTACCATGAAGATATTTTATCAAGTTTTTTAAATTATTTATCAAAACCCTCACAAATGTTTCTGACAAAGTCACTTTCAAGCAAACAGATCATCATCCTGTGCTTAGAGCAGCAGCACTGCTGACTGTACAGACCTCTGAATAAGGCATCTGGTATAGGCAGAAATGAAAGACATACTAAAATCAAGCCAGATTGTCTCTCTGGATGGTTCTCTTGTGTTTGAAGCAAAGACAGTGTAACTTCCTCCTTCTATTGAAGCTATGATAAGAAACTTACTTATTTTTAACCACTGCAGAATGCAGACATTGTTTTATAAAGACAAACATCTGCTTTAAGCTTCATTTTCCAGAAGTAATTCTGCATTTTGCTGTTAAAATTTCCTTATTCTAAGCCTAAATTTGTGTGTTACAATTTGGATCTATTTTGGGGGTGATATTACCGATGACTGGAGTCCTAGTTCTTAGAATTTTGTTTTGAGGGAATGTTTGTAAAATACCACATATGCTATGTAAATGTCAGTTAAGCACTCATGAAAAGTATCTTTTATGTATTTTACATCTGGGCTTCACTTCATGTATTTGGGTTTCCCACTGTATTGTCAAATCTTCTAGATTCTTTTGACTCAAGGATTTCTCTTTGAACAAGTAGAATCAATATCTTTTGAAAGCTCATCAGAAACGATCCTCAAGTCTCAACCAGCCCCATTGCTTCCCTTTTCATAAAATTCTTAAGTAATATTCAGGCTTTTTCATAAAATTCTTAAGTAACATTTAGACCTTTTCACAAAATTCATAAGTAGTACTTAAAGCTTGAGAGAAAACTGCTCTGGTAGATAGTTGATGATATTTTGAAAGAGACAAGAACTTTCAGTAAATCAAACAGGTTACTTAAAAGGCAAAATAATAATATAGTATTAATATTTTTGAGCACTTAATGTATTTCAGGCACTATGATACTTTGATACTTTTTACATGTATTATCTCACTTAGGCAAAAAGGAAGAGGAATCTCTTTTTCAAGGATAGATCTGTGAGTTGGTAAACAGAAAAATTAACAGTCATATTACAGTTATCTATTGTACCCCAGAGAAAAGGGCTAAACCCAGAATGAAAGCATTCAGGATTAAAATATGTATAACTTAACATATGTGATAGGTATAGACAGACATAGAGATAATGGAGACAGAAAACTCTGAATGCCCACAAAATAAAATACTGCAAGTTATGGATTCATACAACCATGGAAAGTGGAAGAGCTATCTGGAAGTGATATAGCCAACATTCCAGAAGCATGAAATTATTTCCATTCATCTTATTTAGAGCAAAGATTAAAATACTGTGGTGTATGCTTGTTATATATGTAATATACATACACATAATTGTACTTATTGTGTATACCTGAGCCTTTGAAATGGGTAGTTCTTCTAATCTTTATATAGGGCATATGAACATGTCTTTATTTTTTAGTGTATACTCATGAGTATTGTTTTTTCTATAAGAACAAAAGTTTAAGAACCAGTGAAGAACAAAATAAAATATGATTGGGGATGAGGGGAGCTAGTTTCTTTGATTCTTACCTGATATATATCATAAAAACTGATAAGGAAACTAAAACAAATTAATCCTCTAACAAGATTCATAGAAAAATGGCACCTAAAACTCAAATAAAGGGCTTCAGAAGACCAAGTTTCCTGAAATGGGAACGTTGATAATACTTCTACTCGCATTAGCCTTTGGAACTCAGACCAACCTTGTTCTAGGGAACACTACAAATTATATGGAACACTAGACAATGACCATTAGTGTCACTGGGCGACATCCCCTTTAGGAATAAATGTGGAAGACAGGTTCTTGGGAAGTAATAGGAGACATAAGAATTGTATTAGTTATCCATTGCTGCATAACATTTTGCCGTCAAAGCTTCACAGATAAAGCAACAAACTTTTATTGCCTCACTGTTTTGTGGAGCAATATAGGTTTGGTTTGGTGAAAACCTCTAGCTCAAAAATTTTCTTGAGGATTCAGTCAAGCTGTTGACTCCAGTCCTAAAGTCATCTAAAGGTTCTGCCGGTGGGGATCCATTCACATGGTTGTCAGTGGCACACAGACCAACCACAAGACTGCTTTATAACAGGACAGCAAGCTTCCCACCAGGCAAACACTTACGGAGGCACAAGAGAAAGAAAGCCCAACGTGAGAGCCATGGTCTTTTTAACCTGGATTTGGAAATGATATTCCATATTTTATTCTTTGAAAGTAAGTCAGTCAATCCAGGCCACTCTAAAGAAGAGAAATTACTGGGGTCAGGGGTTTAATCGCAGCAGCCCAAACACCTGCCTGGCAGGTGTGATGTTATGAGTTCGATCCCTGTACCAAAAAAAAATAGGAATTACTGTATATGAGGATGTGAATACCAGCAAGTAGAAATCATTGGAAGCTAAATGCAATTGGTTTTTGCTTTTCTGCTTGCTTCCATATTTTCTAACATTGATTCTGGACACGCCTTACTTGCACAATAAGGAAATGAAAATATTAAAGGCAATTACATTTAAAATAGGTTATTTGTATGCCAGAAATGCTGACCAGAAAAGTCACTTTTCTTAGTAAGATGATTAAACTGACAGAACACAGGATTTATTATTGACCTTCCTGGCCACAGATTAGATCATGTCATGAATCCAAGCTGGAGATCATTAACCTCCCAGGATTTCATATGGCTTGAAAATTTTTGGCATTAAAAAACAGAAATAGCAAAACTCCCAGCAATGATATGCATATATCAATCTCTCCTATTGCCTAAGTCTCTTTTCTCGGTTCTCAACAGTATGCTTGAGAGTTCGAACCGGCTTGATGAAGAACACAGGCTGATCGCCAGGTACGCAGCAAGACTGGCAGCAGAATCCTCCTCGTCTGTAAGTATTTTGAGTGCAAGTATTCACATGTTGGCATACTGCATCCTTGAATTTCATCTGTCATATCCATTGTTATCACTAATGTGTTTGCTGCTGTATTTGTGGCATCTTGGTAGTGAATTCCCAGCTCGAAAGTAGCACACTTGAGGAACAGAAGATCTATAGCAATGTGACACTGTAATTGAAATGGAATCTCCACATCCCAACTGTACCCAGTTTTGTCCCCATAGGAGGATCTGATGAAAGGGGTGACAACTGGTTGTGATTTCTCAATAGGTTTAAATCAGATATGTTTATCAAAGATACTAGATCTAGGGTGGAATAATCACTAGTGAGAGTGACCCATGATTGATGTACCACAAAAGACAATGAATTAAACACGGGCACAAATGGGGAAGCTGTTCCCTCTCCTCTCACCCAGGATGTCACTTTTACAGAAGCCCCCATGCCAGGCATTTAACTAATGATTCCAAATGGGAACCATGACCCGTGGCTGTCTGACATCAGTGATTGTAACCGTACCGTAATCTGGATAGAAAGTACCGTAATCTGGATAGAAAGCACTCGGTCAGGCTAAAATTGTGCTGTATGGCCTGAAAATCAGTTTTCCTCTCTCTCTGCCTTTTCTAGTGCTCTCTATGCTACCCGTTAAAAAGGTTAAATGTAATTATATGTCCAAAATAGGGACACAGCAAAAATTAATATCTCCGCTTTCCATCCTTTTCTTTCTCTGTCCCTATCTTTTGCCTGGCTTAGTCTGCCTATTTTTATTTCCTTCTCTTTTCTAAATCTCTCGTTTTTTCTTTTATTATTTTCCCAATAAGATCTATTATGTAGAACTAACCCACCATTTATTATTTCTTATATTTATTGACTACTTGAAATTCTGAGTTCTGATTTTTAAAAGCAAATAAATTAAATGCTATATATTTTTACTCTTCAAAGAAAGATATTGTTTCTTATTATTTATGGCTTGATACTGTTTTTCCCTGTGTTGGCTACTATCTATTGATTTAAAAATAAAATAGAAAGAGATTTCTTAACCCTTGGTAGATCAGTATACTACTCGAGCCAAATCCAATTCATTTTTATGCAATATAAGCTGAGGATAATTTCTACATATTTATTGTTGAAATCAAAAGAAGAATCATATAATGACAAGAGAAATTTATATTAAATTCAAATTTCAGCATCCATAATAAAAGTTTATTAAAATATCATCACCACACTTGTTTACAAATTATGTACAGCTATTTCCCTGCTACCTAACAGAGCTGAATAATGTTGCTTCTGTTTGGTCTGCTTACATACTTTAACTTTTTAGTTCCTTTCTAATTCAAGTATAGAAAAAGCATGGCTTAGGGTATTCTAGTTATAATACTGGTGGGCCCACTCATTGCATAATTTTTGGGGGAAAGTCTTGATCAATTAATATAAAGACCAAAGCTATGCCTGAAATCAAGTCTTTTTTCCATACACAGAATGTCCACAAGAAAGAAAAATTTGTCTTGTGAAATTATAAGGAAAACCTGGATAACAGGTCAAAGCTGCTATGTGCCAAATTTAGCTACTGAAAGCCAGTTAGCATGTAGAACATGGGACCTCAAAATTCTTCATCAGCAACATGAGTTATTTATTTGTCAAAAATAAATATAAAACAAAATCACAGAAGAGCATTTTTTTTTTTGTACCGGGAATCAAACTCATGACTGCACGCTTGCAAGGCAGGTGCTCATGCCGCTGAGCTATATCCCCAGCTACATCCACAGAGGAGCACTTTTGAAAGTCAAACCTTTTACTAGTCTGAGTCTTTGCTATGGCTAGGTATCTAGACATTAAAAATCACGCTGAGTTTCTCCATGTCTTTTGGCTTAGATAGCAGGTGACATTTTTTAAATTTTACATTCCTTGGTTTTAAAAATGTGATATTTTACAGCAACAAAAAGTGACTTCAAATTTCTAACATGTACTATACAGCAAAAAACAGAAAAAAGCAAGACATGGTGAGGTGTACCTAACCTGATCTCATTTTATAAAGCAATGCCAAGTAAGACCTTGAATAAATACAAATATACAAATGTTATATGATATGGTTTATATTTATATGAAAATGGAGAAAGCTGTTCTCCATATATGTCAGTGATTAAAGCTAGCTTCATGATTGAGGATAGTGGTTTGCTGTGGTATGTATGTAGACAAAGCAAATAAATATGAATCCATTAGAGTGAAATTAGACATCTAAGTAGGTAAAGAAGTACATAAAATTATGTTGACCAAAAGAAAAATAGTCTTCTTAACTGATATTTAAAACTATGAAATTTTTAATCAGAAATTTATTTTTAATTTTTCTTTTTAAAAATGGTATATAATTGTTCACATTTATGGGGTACAGTATGATATTTTAATACATGTATACAGTATATAATAATTAGATTAGAGTAATTTGCATATCCATCATCTCAAACATTTATCATTTGTATGTAATGGAAAGAATCAAAATCCTCTCCTCTAGCTATTTTGAAATAAACAATAAAAATGATGGAAGGGACAGGGAGGGAGGGAGCTATTACAGGATAAAAACAAAAAAGAAGAAAAAGAATTAAGATGTGATTTTTTACAGCAACAAAAAGTGACTTCAAATTTCTCCCCACGATAACTGCAATCATTATGTACTGCAAACATATACTAGTAATTTTTTAAATGACTGAATAGTAATTCTACAGAAAGAGCCGTCTCAGCAGTAAAACAGTTTTAAACTCACCTACACTGAGAGAATAATTGCAATGGGAACAGCATTGCAAGAATGAAATAGTTTCCCAAAGCCTCAAATCATAAAGCTGAAAGGCAATTTTTCCCATGTGCTGTGTATTTGCTTCCCAGAGAATTCTGTTTTGTTTTCCATTGCATAGCTATGTTCTAGATCCAAAGGGAAAAACATGGTCCTTCTGAAAGAGACAGAAGTTTCATTTTATGAATTTTCCCTCTTTCATTTTGCTGGAAATAGTTTTCTTTTTCCTGTTTGTGTATCTGGCTCCTGTCTTCCCAATACATGTACATTCACATTCTTAATATTAAATCATGTAAACTACATATTTTACAGCAGCCAACTCAGCAGAGAAGTGCTCCTGACATCTCCTTCACCATTGATGCCAATAAACAACAAAGGCAGCTGATTGCAGAACTAGAAAACAAGAACAGGTAAGGCTCTGTCGATGTATTGGCCTCTTTCATCAATGTGTGTTCATCAGTCACCTAAACATGTGTTTTGCATCCTCCAAGATTTTCACCCTGAGTCATCATCGATGTGGACTATTGATCCTAACACCTTAAATCTACAAAAGCTCCATTTAAAAATAATGTGCGTATGACTGTCCTCTAGAAAGGTTTGTTTCCTCCCTTTTTGGGGGCCCATTTCCTTTTTTTACTTAAAAAAAATGAAACAGCAAAAGGGTAGAAATAATGCATAATTTAAAAAAAAACAGTAAGAAATCACTAGTTGATAAATTACATATTGTCCTCTTAGAAATAGTTTTTCAAGTTGCAAAAGTAAAGCATACAAAGTGGACATTTAAACAGCGAGACCAACACGTGGAAACCTTGGAACTTCTCAACCAAGCAGTAAGACCATGCCCTGCATCTGAAATCACCCTAAGACATTTTCTTTTGTAGCAAGCTGTAGAACAGGTAGGTCCTTCCTGCACACTAGGCAGCGTTCCTCCACCTGCTAGAGACAAGCAGGAGGCTTACCTGAGAGGGCTCTTCTAAGGACTCCTAACAAAAGAGGCATTTGGAGCAATGACACAATCACCCATTTGTTCAACCCAAACATCTCCATATCTGCTCCATCAGCAGACCCTTTCTCTGTTCGATAGATCGATTCTGTGTCCATAGCATATCCAAAACCTGTCCACCTCCTCTCTGCCACCAACTCCCAGTCCAACCTGTCATTTTTAAACACCAATCATGTCATGTTATTTATGAAAAATCCTACGATGCTTTTCCATTATGCTTTGATTCATATCCACTCTTATCACCATGATCTGCAAGGTCCAACCTCTCCTGATGACTGCCTGCCTGCCTGTCAGCCACAGCTCTAATTCCTCATCACACTCCACCTCCCGTGACTTTATCCTGTCTTACATCCTTTGCACTGGTCAGTCTTTTCAACCCAGAAAGCTCTTCCTGTAGGATGGCTCCTCATCCACCAAGTTTCAGTTTAGTGTCGCCTCCTAAAGACCTCACATCTATTCTTGCCCACTACTTCCTACCCAGCAGCTATTAGGTCCCATATGTATGTGTGTGTGTCTGCTACCTATCACTATATGAAATTATGCTATGCAGGTGTTTGCTCCCTTATTTATTATTTGTCCTCCCTGACTTAAAATGGGAACTCTTTACGAACAGAGGCCATTCCATTCTGGACCCCAGAACCATGCCCGCAATATTGCAGATGCTCATTAAGTATATGCTGAAGGAGGAAACAATGAACAGCTGAGCAGGTCTCAAACTCAGTCTTGAATAAGCCCATCATGGGAACACATTTTACATTATATATTTCTAGAAATGGCACCAGTGTCTTAATGTTTAATCCCTTCTTAAACACTGGTGTCATTTTCAAGATTATAACAATAAAGGGAAAGAGTATGGTAATTATTTCATACCTGTAGAGCTTGATTTGAGAACTTTGGGATGAACTATCAAAGCACGCTGTAAGGTTAAATTAAAAGTAAAGTATCAACCCTGTTAGCACATTTCCATATTTTTCTAGTAAAATGACTTTTGGCTTCATTGTCCTAAGGCCTAATTCCAGTAACTAGGAGAACACAAATTAAAAGTAAAATATCTTAATAAATGTGACATCATGACTTTGTAGTCTCTAAAACTATCACTGTATTCTTCTTCCTAAAATACGGGGTCATATGTGACCCATCTCAATTTGCCAAGTAGTAAGCAGCAAGAATTAAGAAGGCAGAAAGTGGAAACATAGTGAAGAATTAGCTCAAAAACAGCTATTCAAATTGAAATTTGTTCTGGATAGTGGCAAGTCCGTGAAACTGCTGATTCTATTTTATAGAACGTTTATTATAATCACTGAGTGAAAATAACCGTGCTAGTCATACTAAGGCAAGAAAGGGGCTGAGAGAAAGGAGCAATTCCAAAAGAGCAAAGACACTTAGAATCTAGTAGGAAAAACAATACAAAGAAAGAAAAGGGCGGCTCCAGAGCCAGTGTGAGGTGGCAGCAGAGTCGGCCAGCCTGAGCATTTGAAATGAATGATGTTAAAGAACCACTGAGGACTCTCAGGCCCCTGGAGTGGCGTTATGACTATTAGTGGTTGTAGGAAGTAGAGGTGCCAATTTTCTAATGTTGTCTTGAAGCTTTACATCAGTTCCAGCACCAGAAAAGGCATGGAAAGAGAGAAAAAGAAAAAAAAATTTGGTCTGCTTTAAATTCTTTATTTAACTCACAGTTCCAACTCCATTAGAACACTCTAGCAAATATTAGAATTGAAATGTAGACAGTCGGCTTTTCTCTGTTTAGTCACCAAAGTAAACCTATAATATACAGTATAGAAAGTTATTCAAAAGTATTCAGTCAGAATTAATAAATGTAAGTACATCAGTGAGTGTCTTGTACTAGTCAACTGAAAGAGCGAAAGAAGTGGGGAAAGATAAGGAAAAATCTACTGTCTTGTCCAGAACTGGAGTTCTGTGCCAGCTGGAGGTCTGATTGATCTGTGCTCAAGTCGAGGCCCATTCTGGAGAAGGAGTTGGCTTGCTAGACAGTCCTTTCATTTAGAACTTCTTGCAGAAATTATCCCACATCCTCTTCTCCAGCCCTTCATCTCTTTTGTCTAAAATATACACCTGTGCTTCCATGTACTGTGTCTCTAACCAGCAAGGAACTGTCCAGTGGGGAGAGGTCCAAAGCTCGGATTAATAACGTACAGCTCTAGCTTCCAAGTGGCAGGAGAAACCAGGGAGACAATAATGACAATCACACATTTATAAAGCACTTGTACAACTGCATATTGTTTCACTGCATCTTCAGCACAACTCTTGGAGGTGCCCAGGGTGACTGTCATCATCATCAGTGTGCAGATTAAAATTAAAAGTCGAAGTGTCATGTCTACTCTTTTCTCCTAAATGATGCATTTCACCACTGCGCTCTAGGTTGTGTCAGATGAACTTTATTAGAAAATGGGGTTTTAGCTGAACATTTCAAGATAGTAAAATTAAACAGTGAAAGACAGCATTATAGATATAATTACACATAAGACTTTGGGAAAAATGATAAAGACTTGTTAGGCTAATCCCCAGTGGGTTGAGATGAAAAGTAAAATGGGATCATCAATAGGCAAGACTACGCCAGGCCAGAGAATTGGAATTTTATCCTTCCATAATGGACAGAAGTAGTCAGGTAAGTGACAGAATGTTTACATAGTTATGGTAACATAATCAACTTATTAAAGCATTAACTAGAAGCTGATGGGAAGTGATAAGGACCTATTAAAGAGATGATGCCAGCAATAGCATTAAGCAAAACAAAACAGCAGATGCTGGACAAAAGAATAAATATTTCTGGAATGTTATTTTATGAAAGCTTCTGTTACTCCCTTCTAAACTTTCAAATAAGGATTTCAGATTTTTTGACCAGTAATCTTCACACAACTCACATTTCCCTTGTGGCCCTCTTTTCTTTCACTTTGTTGATCTTTCCTTTCTCATATTACCTGACCTGATATCATACCGAGAGCCAAGTCAGGGCTTAGGGGTGGGAATAAGGTAGTACAGTATGTCATAGCCCAGTGCATAAGAGAGGAAATCTGTTCACCTCATGGCAGGGAAGTGAAAAGTGAGGGAGGAAACAGAGAGAAATGGGACCCCTTCAAAGGGAGGCCTCCAGTGACCTAACTGATTTCCACTAGGCCACACCGTCTAGATGTCCCACTACTCCCTATTAGCCCTACAGGCTGGCTACTAAGGCTCTAACATGTGGGCCTTTGGGGGTCACATCAGGTCCAAACTATAGCAACGTGTCATTTGATAATCTTTAGAAGACAGTGTTTCCCTGTAACACTCTTCAGAGCCAGGTGGGAGTAACAGGACCCTTCAAATTACACTGTATTAGTCACTGCCTAGGCTGCACTAGTCAAAGCAAGTACCCAAAAGTGAGGCAGTCCGATGCACAGATTTTGAGGTACCTACCTTGAGTTCAAATCACTTACTTGTTACTGAACTTGAGCAAGTGTTTTAATGGACACATGCCTTGATTTCTCCACTCATGACACAGAGACAACAGTAATACCTACATGTCATAAAACTGTTACAGAAATAAAAGAAGATTAATGAAGACAGCACAGTTCTACCAACATACATTATGTATGTTTTTCATTCTTTTTTTTCTTACCACAAGTGCTTCTCTCATTTTCTTTCCTGGGATAAGTGACTCTGTCATGTTCTCTGCCACCTACAAGGAGAAATGCCTGGGGACATAAAATGTCAGAGTGTTAGCACTAGAGAAAATCATGGGGACCACCATTCCCTTATTTTCAAGTTGAGCTCTCTGGTAATGGGGAACCCTGCAGAAGCACCCGAAGAGCAGCATGGGGGGTCCAATTTCTTTAACTGCGGAAGCTCTGTCCTCACTGCCTGATGCAGGAGATGGGTTTCCATAGGTGATTTCTTTTAAAGAAAGATTTCCACTCTAGAACATTAAAAAAATCCCCCCAAAAAAGACTGAAAACCACCTATGCATAGTCCAACCTTCTCCTTATAACTGCAGAAGGTGTAATATGGTAGTTACACTTCTGATTCCTCTGGGTTTGTGAAGCAGGCATCTATCTGTAAATCAGCATTTCCAATGCAAACCACCAAACTCCCTTCTTTTTGTTATTGTGAAGAATACAATAAATTATTGCCAACTATATTTGTCCTCCTAATGTGATATATAGAGCACAAGAACTTGCCTCTTACTAAATGTATTTTGGTACCAGTTATTCCAACTGAGAGTTTAAAGGTTCCCAACCCAAAGAAATGCTAATTGTCCTGATTTGATCATTACGAGTTGTGTACATATTTCATATTACCATATTGTACACCATAAAGATGTGCAATCACTGTGTGTCAAGGAAAGGCATTTCAGTAGAAAGCCACCTCCCTTGCTCACCCAGTTTACCTCCTATTCTCATCCTTTGTTCTGTTTTGTGCATTTTCTTGAGTAGGATACTAATACCCACAATCCCCAAGAATATGTGACTTATAACCTTGCTTAATGGCTTCTCATTCACTTAGGGATAATGTGCCTTGTGCTGGTCACATATCATTTATGGCCAGCTTGATGTTCACCCAAATGCAGGGTGGCCCAGGCTGCCACATCAATAATAGGCTGACATGTCTCACCCTGTGACAGAGGTCACAGCATAGCATTCTATGTCACAGACTCAATTAGAGTGAATCCCTTTAAAAGCACTTTCTTTTTAAGGATGGCTTCATTGAGATCCAGTAATAAGGCTGAAAAATGATAGGAAAAAAATTTGCCTAACTGAGGATTTCTCAGATAAATTCAGTGAGAATTTCATTCTTGGTGAGAGAATGAGGTTATTCAGTTTTGTGAAATGGGCACCATTTAGTCTTATTTTCCCCCTAAGCACCTCTTACTTGGTAGCTGTGGGTACTTCATGGTGTCTGGGTATGATCATAAATAATAGGAAAATACATTTTTTTCTCTTAAGCATTGTACTCATCAAAGTTGGACACATTACAGCACTACCTGACTTACTGGAGGATGAGCAGGTCCTGATGTTAATACTCAGTGACATCCTGCAGAGCCTTTGTGGTTCGGATAGGCTGGAGATGAAGTGACCTGTCCATCACCCACACAGCTCCTGGCCACCTGCAGCCTCAGCCTCAGAAGCACAGAGTCTGTTGGTTAGCGAAAGTCAGATCTGCTTTGACACACAAGATACTGCCTTCTCTCCCTGCTCTGGGCACCAGACTTGCTCAGATGCTAGTGCCCTGGAAGTTAGCTGACCCTATTTCTCACCTTTCTCCTCTCTCCCAAGAGAAATCTTACAGGAGATCCAGAGGCTGCGGCTAGAGCATGAGCAAGCTTCTCAGCCCACACCAGAAAAGGCACAGCAGAACCCCACCCTGCTGGCTGAGCTCCGGCTCCTCAGGTAAGAAGAGGTCATCACAAGAACATAAACAGACGTTTGAGGTCTTCAACACGAGATAAATGTGTCCAGCCAAGAAACGGTCCTTAGCCACTGTAGCTGCTGATACTTGTTTGTTAATAGCATACACCTAACTACTTATATTTGAACAATTTGAAGAGAATTTTATATTTTATTTATTAGACACACAGAAGAGGAAATGGTATTCTTTAGATCAGAAACAATATCTCACATTGAAAAAAACCACTCTCCCTTAAAGGCTACTTATTTCTGGATACTTATAAAACACTTAGCTATGCTAAGCATTTTCAAGATGGGAAATTTCACAAATATCCCTGATTAAGACACCCTGTTCTCTGCATATTCAGGCTTTCACAGAGCTCCCACACTATGGCTCTTTACAAAGTGACTTTGGCCCCCTTGGTTCACAAGGTATACATCCGAGGGCCAAGCCGTAGGAGCTCCCTACTGTAGCTGTCACAGAGATCTCCATTACAGCCTTCCTAGCTGCCTCTTACCAGCAGGAGAAATTCTTTCACCTGGGGGCAGGAGAGCATGAGAACACATCGGGACCTTGCTTTTCATGAATGCGTGGTTTTATTTTTATCTTAAAATCTCTATGATCTTTCTAAATGGGTATGTTTCCTTTTTTACTTTAGCCACAAGGAAACGGAAAACCATATTTGCAGCCCAGATGTAGTTATAGAATAAGTATTTCTGTGTGCTACTTTGACACTTACTATACATTAAGCTCTACATGTGCTGTGCCATGTAATTGCTATAACAGACCTGGGAGATAAACGCTATTATTATACTCCTTTTATAGATAAGGAAATTGAGATTATAGAAGTTTTTTTTTTTAAGTTACAGGCCTTATAACCTAATACCCTTAAGTACTTACATGTATATTTTCTAAGGAAAAAAATCTCATATAACCATGGTGCCATCTTCCAAGTCAGGAAATTAGTATAGATATATACTATTGTCTCATGTATAACTTGTATGAAAATATTACCATTCATCCCAACACTAGTCTAAAAGGAAGTAGATTTTAACACATATACCAAAATAGAACTAATCCAATGGAACTTCTGGCTGAAAGGCATTCCTCTACAGCTGCATACTATTAGCTGTAGGAACATAAAATCATTATTTAGTCTTTATTTTGCCATACCTCCTTGGCATGGTGGAGCCTATGCTACGTATTTGTTAGTGGGTCCACATTTGATAAGCACCAATAGGAAAGAATGAATACAGTAAAAGGAATTGCTAAGTAATTTTAATTGAATTCACTGTCATTTTTAAGAGATTACTGCTATAAAATAAATGCACACTAGGGTTGTTAAGACTGTTTTAAAGTAGACTAAGTTAATGCTAGGTAACCTTTTCTAATATATTTTAAATGCCTCTGTTAGTATTTCTTATTTACATAATATTTGGCTTTGACCCATTGCTCAAAGTGCTCCTGTGACCAAAAGGTCAAAAACTATACAGCAGCACTAAGAAAAAAACTGGAAATACACAAGAAATACTATCCACTTTTATCCCAAGTCCTATGGTGAATGTACTTGGAACACCATGAGTTGAAGAAAAGTAACTAAGGCTTATCATTGAGTAATATTTTTGAATGGGGCAAGACTTACAAAATTAGTATGCTTCAGCCCAAGGAAACAAAGTCTAAAATAAGATACCACTGAAGACTTTAAATTATGATGCTCCTCATTCTATGGATTCAGAAAAGAGGCAATTGTAAAGGAAATTAAAGGGAAAATTGGCACAAGAGTAAGCTGTAAGTAGCAAAAATATAAATATATTCAGAAAGGACTTAGATATTTATAAATTTAAGATTTGTAATTCATCATGTAGAGAAAGCCTGCATGAAACCCTACCATAATTGTTGCATTTATACCCCTGTCCTGTCCTCCTATAACCATCTTTTAATAGAATGAGTCATTTCTAACTCAGTGTGGCATTTTATTTTGTCAGCTTTTCATTTCATAGTCCCTGTTACAGCACCACTTAATATGATGTCTGATCCACTGAGACTAGCTGTGTCCATTCATGCATTAATGCCTACATGTTGAGGCATCCACACATTTTGGAGTGTAAGTTCTAATATTTCAACCTCAAACAGAAGACTATGGGGCATGTAAAACATGTATACATTACATATTTGCTCAGGAGGCTAAAATAATGGACTTGAAATTCATTTGGAAGTGTACATCACTTCAGAAATGTATCTTATTAATATTCTTCTCCAGCTATTTCAATTCTTTCCCCTTTTAAAAATATTTTTGGAACTCCTTAATGTCCACATAAATGGCAGGGTGCACATGGTTTTTACTGGTTTCCATCCTTGCTGACAGTTTAATAGAAGTTTAGCAAAACAAAATAAAACTAAACAAACACAAACCTCATACATTACTTTCAGTTGTAAAACAGTTAGGCACTCCTTTAGTCTGACTTTATGAAATCAAACCCAAACCAAATAATTAACATGGATTATAATAAGTATATACTGTTAATATTTCAATAAGGTACCGTATTGCATAATGAAGATAGGACAGATTAAAAACATGTATTTCCATACCAGGCTTTGTATACTCAGGTAAACCATATTTTCCATGAATTTACAAAAGCTGCCTTAAATCTGGAGGACTTGGAGGACTGTCCCTTGCTGGGAGCAATGTTTGTTTGTTACCTCAAGGGAAGCCAAAGGCACAGAACAGAGCCTGCTGTGTGATAAATATTTTATTAAATTATTAATTAATTCAAGGTAGGAGGATGGGGATGCTAGAAACAATTTTAATTCTATTTAAATTTAGTAAAACTTCTAGCAAATAAAATCGCACTTCAAGAGGCAATTGTCCGTTCATTTGAAGACAGTTACTTGCCTGGCAACCGTATCAAAAAGTTGGAGATGTCTCTTTTCAGAAAGTTCACTAGTTCTAAAAAAAACTGAGGAATGTGATTATCTCGGTGAGTTGAATGCAGTCTCTGCTGACAACTGCTTCTTTCTTAGACAACGCAAAGATGAGCTGGAACAGAGGATGTCTGCTCTCCAGGAGAGCCGGAGAGAGCTAATGGTGCAGTTAGAAGGTCTCATGAAGCTCCTAAAGGTAAGACATCTCAAATGAGTATTTCTCAAAGCTACAGCTATGACATTTGTAATTTTTTCTGCATATAATGTAAGATGGCTTTACCAGTACTGTAACTATATGTAATTTCCCCCAAAATGTTGCAAACTCGAATATGGAGCTAATTCTTAGACCCATGAAACAGTAGCAGCCAATTACAGAGCTTATTCTGATCACTTCTGGGCAGCACATTGCTAATGACCTTCATAGAGCAACCTCTTGAACTACTTCTAGTTCTTGACCACTATGTTCTTGAAAATTATAAAGCTATATTTAGAAATGTTTTATATGAGATCACTTTCAGTGGTTCTTATTAAATTGAACAGAGGCTGATGTCCAATTCAGAAAATTAAGAAATAGCCACTAAACAATCTTACAGTTTTATTAAGAAAAGCGATTTTTGTTAATTTAGGTATTTTGTCCCATTTGTATGGCTATAATGAGTCACATGACTTACACAGATTTCAAATGTACTGTAAATGTGCATACTTCCTTATTCTTTTATAGGTATACTATTTAATAAGCTGATCTACAGAAATCCTCTATAGAGTGCTGTAATCTGTTATTCACATTGGAAGTGACATTCCTCCTTCAGTAAAGTCCTATTTCCTTCATCAATACCACTAAACCACTTTGCAAAGCAAAGTAGATGAATTATGGTCACTTGTCCACAGTTGGCCAGAGAGAATTACCACTGCTCTGGGGTCATCCTGCCCAAGATGAGCAAGCATGAATCAGAATGGATTAGAAGCCACAAAGGCAGGAATTAAAATGATAGAAGGAAGGGAATGTCCCTGGGCAGCTTGACTTCGCATCCATAGACACCCCATGCAGTCTCCCCAACACACCGTCTCTAGTGCTGTCTGTATTGTTCTTCCTTTTTTTCCCTCCTTTCTTCCATTTTTGCTTCTTTTTTCTTTTTTTTTTTCTTCATTGCTATTTCTTTTTAGTTTTTCTTAAACAAATAATTTTTGAATCCTCTGTTCTCAGGCACTACACTTGTAACATTTCTTTCTGTTGTTTTCTGTTTTATTCCTTTATCATATTTTTTATCATCAGTGTCCATTTGGGGAATGCTTTATCATTACTTTTACATTTCAGTTCATTAAGCACATAAAATATAGTATTCAAGGAGCTTTGTATTATTTGTAGTAAGCAGAACTATATAATGCATAACCTGCTGCTGTTTCTGGTTGATGGTCCATTTGATCAGACAGAAAAGCTTCTTTCTGCTTCCCTTTCCAAATATGTCAGATAAAGAGGACTGAATCCATCTTACTCTTCACTAAATAACAGGAGACGTTGGGAAATACCTTCTACTGGTGTTCTTTTAGGTTCTGTCACTGTAGTGTTGACATGGTAGTCTACTAGCCACCTGCTATCTTGGTACCAGCCTGGGCCACAGGGCACAGCTTGTGTACCAGGATGTCTAAACACTAGAATAGAGAGAGATCGTGTTGACAGATGGTTGGAAACATGGAGGAAAGGAATGGGCCTGTAATCTCAAGTATCCACTTGACCTGGAAATACTATCACTGATGTGGCAGGGCCCTGGACCTACCTTCAAACCTATGTTGACATTTCCTCCATCTTGCCTTCCTTCACATTGTGTAGATGCTCTTGTGGGAACCCTGGGTAATCTAACTGTTATTGATTCAATCTTTCTGTAGGAAGAAGAACTGAAGCAGGGAGTAAGTTATGTCCCCTACTGCAGGTCTTAACTAACAGTGGAGGGCCTGCCGTCCTGCTGTTTTTCTCATTGCTTTTGCCTCTAATGTATGTTCATGCTTCCGTTTGGAAAGAAAAAAAATTATACTAATTTGCTTCTTTTTCAATGTAGTGCTCGAATGGAGATTATAAAATTTAGAATTTTTTAATAACTATCACTACTGTCTGCACCAAAAGAACTATTACATCTTTTAGAAGAGGGAACAAACTGTAATTTGATGGAAGTGTTTTAGATTCCCCCAGTGTATACGTTCAAATCAGTTTTACTCTTTGCTGGGTTGTTGATCAGAACCCTTCTGTCACAAAGAGACATAGCCACAAGAGCTACCCAGAGGTTAATATTATCGTAAAACGTATGACACGCAAAAGCAAACCTTCATGTCCTCTTCATGAATATTCAGTTCAGTTTCTGTTTTACTGGAAGTGTGGAAACCCTGTTTATAAGAATCAGGCAAGGGATTTTTGTAAGAACCCCCTGTTATCAAATAACCACGAGGCTGTCTCTTTCCTTCTGCTCGTCAGAATGTGCTCAATTGTCTGAAGACTGTGGCAAGTACCTATCTACTTCCCATCTCTTTGGTTCTTCCCTAAAATAGAATCCCAGATGTTGGTTGAAAATTTAAAAAAAAAAAAAAAAAAAGCTAACTTTCAGCCTTTCTCATCACCAAAACCTTCCTGATCTGGGAGTTTTCAAGGTCATTACGTATATTTTTCCCCAGAGTTAGGGGCAATGTGATTCTCTACCCATGACCTAAATTGAAGCCCTGTGTCTAGCCCAAATGGACAGATTCAGAAGCCAACAAAGGGAGCAGCATACTCAAAATAATAATAATAACATTAATAATAATAATAATGGTAATATAGAGGCAAAAAAGCAGCTTTACTGTTGAGTGCATGTACCAAACTCTGTATGACAATATAGCCCACTTGCTAGCATTATTAAAAAGTTTCACAGCATTTCCATGGATCAGTGAGACCCGCAGCCTGTCCGACGCCAACATATCTTTTAATTCTTCTGTATGCTCTTTTCTATTATACATTGTGTGTGTTTGTGTGTAACAAAGAATGTTTGCAAAATGTTGAACACATTTTATCTTCATTTCCATCGTCTGTAAAAAAAAGGAAAAGTGTCGAACTAATCTGTAATGTCAGACAATAAAGACAATGTACTACATTATTTTGTACTTTGTGGAAAAAATTACTGAACTTCAGTCAAATTTTAATGAGGGACAGTCCCACTGGGGCAGACACACAACCCTGACAGCCTAAGTAGGAATTGCTACTGTGATTCCAACACTTAGATCATGGTAGAGAAAAACCCTTTCTCGTTATACGTCCCTTTGCAAATGGCCTCTTTTCTTTCCTGTCTCTTACTTGTCAGGTGCATAAAAAAAGAAAACACTGCTCAAAAACAACCTTTCTCCTCCTAGTGGAAAGAGAGGGAAATCATCCTTACTTGGTCAGCCTTTAGTCATTTCCCTCAAGGGTCCTTTCCCTGAGATTTCCCAGCAAATTCTTCAAAATCTCCCTTTGAGCAAGAAATTCATAAACAGAGGCACAGAGCCTCCCAGGCAGTGCCCATAAGGTGACATCTCAGCTGTCACCTTTCAGCCCTCCTCTGCTAGCTGATGCTCTGGCTCCCTTTCCAGTTCCGGAATCTAGGAGGGTCAGCCTGCAGTAGGTACCACAGTGTTGGGGCTTACCGGCCCTTAGCCAGTTCCCCCCAGATGTCAGATACAGATTGTCTGGGAGGGAAGTTTGCCTGCTTTACTGGTAACCCTTTACTTTTATTCTCAAGCCTCTCTTCAAAAAGAACCAGAGGCAGCTTACAACAAAATATATGACCAGTGTCTCCTGAAAATCGAAATAGAAAAATATAAAACTAAGGAAAAGGAAATGTAAATATGCTCATCATAAGGAACAAGGATGTTCCTCTGAGCTTTCTGGCAATGAAGCCAAAAAAGAAAATATGGTTGGTGGTTCTATCAGTATAGAAATACCACTTCTCAGGAGAGCAAAATTTCTGCACCATAAAATATGAAAGAAAATCTTCACTTGGAACTTTATAGAAGTATTGAATAATAAAATGGAAAAACACAGTCATAGATTTCATGGGGCTGTATCTCATACTGACCTTCAGTCTAAATTAAAGACAGAGCCCTATAAATTCCAGCCCTGTAGAGGCAGTTCTATAAAGAAATAAGTACCATCCATATCTATAGACTTCTCACAGTATAACATGATCTAAGGAGAGAATTTAGAGGTTTTAGACCAGCATCTGCTTCTAAATTCTGTTTTTATTTATGAGCCTTTCCTCTCCAGGGACATTCTCTTTGTAAAATCGAACTTTTAAAACCCCCCAAAAACAAAACGTGCTTGATTTAATAACCTCTATTTGCTTTATCTTAAGTCTGTGTGGTTTAATGTAGTGTTTTATTATACTGGTATATATAATTCCTACTTATATTGTTTCTTGTATAAATGCATGAATTTATCCCCCATTGAGGACAGAACATGATTTTTTTTAAATAGTGCCTGTAATATAAGATGATGATTATGGTATCACAAGCAATAAATTCTTTTTTGACAAAACTTGAACTGAAGTTATCCTACCCTCTTTCTTCTTTGTGTATCTTTAAGATTTATTGAAGGAGCCATAAAAAGAACACTCATAAAAAGTTTAATAATGAATGCAGCTGGGGTGTAATTGCAGTAACAGTATGTTCCAGGGATTCTGGTATCTTTCCAGTTCCAAATCTTATGACCAGTCTACAGCAAAGCATCTTGACTTTTAGTTTAAGAAGTAAGATCTCTATAATAATTTTCTTATAATGATAACTTGGTTTAGATCAGTATTACAGCAGGCCCTGCTCTTCACTCACAGCTGTAAGATCTTGAGTAAGTGAATTTACTTCCTAATAATTCATTTCAAACATACTGGCAATGCCTGGCTCATAGGGTTACTGTACACACTGAACAAGATAATGGTCATAAAAGCACTCTGTAAAAATACAATATGAATGTCAAACATAAGTATGAATACATATATTTAGATACATGCAAATGGACCCATAGTTTATACACACACACTTCTTCATTACAATTAACTAATTAGTATCTCCAACAGAAGAAATTCAAGCAAGACTTTTAGTTGATTCTGATTTCTTCTAATTGCTTTTAATAGTAGTAAACAATAATTTTATTTTAGAAAAAATGACAGAAGCAAACCGGTAAGATTCTCTCTTCCTATTTATGGTAGCATCAGGTATGAGTCTAGATATGCTAATATCTAGAGACTATTGCTAACATCTGTTTCTGAGTAGGCTTTCTTAAAAGCTAACACAGTAAAAAGTCGCAAGTGTCATGCATTCTGTACAATGTGCAACAAGACATTGACAGTTTTTTTTGTTTTGTTTTGTTTTGTTTTGTTTTGTTTGATTCCTGAAGTTGAACTCAGGATCTTCCACTCACCAGACAGGTACTGTGGCACTGAGCTGTATGCCTAGCCCAACATTGACAGCTTTCTGAATGTTTTTTATTTATGAAATTCATTTTTCTATGATACAGTTGTACAAAACACATGGCTTAGTCAAGGATCACAATCAAGTTTATGTTTATTAACAGGAATATTTTTGGCTTTACAATTAGGATTCATTTTGTAAATTATATTTCAAATTTTTTGATCCAATTCTTCCCTATTTGGGAGAGGAATATCATTGGTATTTTGTTACATAGTATAATCATTTTAATTTGATGGAGGGGAGTTAATCATCCCAAATTCCATCTCTCGACTCAGTCTCTTCTCGGCATTTAACTGGATGCTCCAATTAACTAGAAACTGCCGTCACTCAGGTTCCTTCTTCTTCCAAACACACTATGGAATACAACCAGGCCAAAGAGGAACGATGTGGACAGCCTGAGTTTTACCTTGCATTATTTCCCTTGTTCGTTCTCTCTGATGGGTTTTCTGTGGAGTCCCGAGCTAGTCAAAAGTGAGGGAAGAAAGAATTCACTTTAAAATAATCAACTGCAGGGTAAATACTAACACTTGTTTTGTAAAAATATGCCCTCTCAGAATATCTCTACCTTCTGATTTTTTTAAACTGGAGATTAATTCTAGAGAAATAAAAAAAACTCCTCTGCTTAAAATCTTCAAAGTTGACCCTCTATTGGAGCTCAGTACCAGCTCGATATTAAAAGTCCCAAGCTTGGCTCCTCCTTCTCTGCTTCAGTGTTTCCTGCTCTCCATAGGGAACTGGAGCTTCAGTCACAGAGATCCTCTGCCATCCCTCCCGTACCCCTCATGCATCCCACGGTTTGCTCAGACTATTCCAAAACCTGGATGTCTTTCATCGTTCCTCCCTGGAAATCTCTGCCATTAAGACTCAAGTCAAATAACAGAGTGCTGGTAACTGCGTGACCAGCACACTCTGTACACAGCAATCCCTTTAAGAAACCAAAGAAATTCTCATTAGTACCATAATAGGTACTAATGAGAAATGTGCTACACATTACTTTGCTTCACCTGCCCAGGCTGCTACGCACAGCCAGGCCAGATCAGGTTTAACTTGTAAACAAACCTAAAAAGGCAGATTTGGATGGAGGGGATGCTCTGCATTGGGATAGCCTGGTTCAGCCTTTCGACCTTTTTCTTAAAGCATCCCTCATTTCTAGAGCTGAGTAGAAATCAAAATACTTCCTGAAAAAAAATCAGAAAATTTATGGATCTTTTCCAACTTTAAAAATTGATGCAACAGCAGGTTGAGTGAACCCAGAGGATGGCGTGCAGAAATTAATTTTTCATTCATTCTCTAGGAAGAGAGCTATTTTAAATCTGGCAAGTATGATATATGTTTTCCTTCTTCCATAAATCAACTCTCTCCTTGGGAATTTTAGATCTATTTATTGATCTGCATGGACCACGGTCCCTTAAGTCTCTGTTCCATTAATCATTGAGTAATTTCCAAGGAACGATCCTCACAGAGATGATTCTTTCTAACTCAGGCCAGAGGTAACCATTTATAGGGCATAATACCTGTGAAAATGAAACTCACTGATGTCCCCACCAGTCTACCCAAATGCAAAGAGCCATCTGCCCTGTCCTAACAACCTTTCAAGAACAGAACAGAAAAGAAGACCAGAAAAGGCATTTTACACAGTTGGTGCTAGGAAGGTACTATGTTGCAAATTGGGTAGTGTCCCAACAAAGAAAAATGGAGCCATGAATTCCCAGAAAATCAGCATCCATGCTCAATAGCCTGGGTAAAGACTGACTATGACATGAGAGTTGCCAGTTTTGGGGAAAACGCAGCCAAATCTCTTCTTCCACACAAAACCTTCTATTTAAGTTTTTCAAATAATCAGACTGAGTGAAGTGGCCCCAATTAGAGATTCATTTGGGAGATGGCAGCGGGCCATCATTTACACACAGGTGTAATTTAGAGTCAGTTATTTTTCTCCTAACACATAACCACAGTCAATTATTTTTCTCTAAACACAGAACCACTAATGGGAATTTTGTAAACAGGAAATAGAAAGAAATAGAAATAATTGGTCTTGAAGTACAGATAGAGATAGGGGTTGGAATGCTTTGGACATGCTGCTAAAAGGAAGTTCACAGAGGGAGAATGGAAGGGCCTCATGTATAGCTCTCTTTACAAATGCTTTCTCAAGGAAGCTCATGAGTGCCGTGTGCTGTAGAATCTGGCTTAACAGGTGCACACAGGGCTGGTGTCAATACAGCAAAATACTGAAGTACCATCCATAATGCTGTATCTAAAATCACTGGTCCAGATATGTTCTAGAATTCAGAATATTTCAAACCTATGAAAGGTGATAGAACACAGATACCTTATCAACAGCCTCATTTTCCATTGGCCCAAATTCATTAAGAAACAACCTGTGTTTGCCAGAGCTTTTTGAATCTCGAAATTTCAGCTTAGACATTGTGGACCTGTAATTCTGTTCTGGATGACAAACCCAATGGCTCTCCTTTCACACCAGCACCTGAACCTCTCCCATGACCCCGTGACTGAAAGACATTCCTGGCCCAGCAGCCTACTGAGAACAGGCTCTGGGCCTCTTCAGCCTCAGGTTGGCTAAACCTTTCTAAACATAGTGCAACAGACATAGACTCATCTATATCCTAAGAAGCATCTGTGATATTATAGGGAAACCCTGGGTTTGTAGTCAAAAGGCTAGGGATCCCTTTTATCTGTTATTCACTCACTTGGGGACCCTGAGTAACCCACTTATCTCCTCTGAATCTCAGTTTGTTAATCTATAACATGGAAATAATATATTTTATGGTTCAGAGAATTAAATGAAGTAGTTGGGGTTAAAGCACTTTATACACTATGAATTGCTATCCCAGTGTATCATGATTTCTACTGCCATTAGGAAAATGAAACAAAACAGCATGTGTAAAAATTTTTTAAACACTAAATTGCATACACAACTGGAATTGTATTGTTATTGCAAACTTCCCTAACATGGTAGAGGATCTGGTTTCACAGGGCTGTGTGGAAAACTCAGGCTGTAAGGCCAAAAGAAGCCAACTTCTACAATCACCATTGTGCCCTACTTCCTACTGTGACTGGCCTCTGGCAAAGAGAACAGATAAAGAAAAAAAAACAGGAGCCCTGCTGAGGGGTCTGCCTTGAAAAGCATGCACAGGTCCAGGTCAGGGTAGCCAACCCACATCTGTCTCCTTTAAGGGGCACATCCGTAGTCATAGACCAACAAGGTTCCTGTAACTCATATCTCCCAGAATGCCTGGGTGCAGCACCAGCCCTGCTACTCAGGCTCCATCCCCAGAGAGCAGTTCTTTTCATTGTGTAAGCACTGGGATCCACAACTGAACATTTAGAATGATGATGCCTGCTTCATAGGGTCTTGGAGAGAAATCACTGAGAATATACGCAAAGCCGTTTGAGCATCATAAAGCACAACTCAAATGTAAAGTTAACTGTTATGGCACAGCCAGCTGGGGACACAATGGTAGCTCAGATGCAGAGTTTCTAAGTAATGGGGCTGAGCTACCAACCTTTGGTGGGAAAACCACACCCTTGTGCTGGCTGAGAAAAGCAGGCTGCAAAGCATCACACGCAGCCAAGTTCCTCTTCCCGGGGCCTGGACAGATCATTACAAGGTACTGTTGAGAGTGAAAGAATGGACTCTTCGGCCCTTTGGGCATCACAATCGTTTTTTTCTGTGCTCTGTTCTGTTTGTTTTTAATTCCGGGTTTTCCTCAATTTATAGATTTGACATTTCTGTGTGAATTTGAGCCCCTGGAGAGCTAACAGCATGGGATTGCACAGAATTCATGTTGTATGCTTTAACTTCAAGCAGCTGAGCCCAAAACAAAGATCTAAATAGAATATTCTAGAGTGCTGCTCTTAGAGTGCATGTCTAGGTATTTGAATGGGTTTGAATCTCTGGACCTTGCTTTAGAAGAGTTTTCACTGTAACAGCCAGACCCAACACTGGGATTACACTGATCTGAACCCCTAAAATTTGTTGTGTATGCATGAAAGTCTCCATGCATTTCCTTCCATGCATGTTTGATTGTCTTCCTTTGCCTACTAATTATTAAAACAGGAAGATTGTTTCCAAGGGACCTCTTGTAGAGACAAAGCATTAAAATTCAAGGTATGACAATCTCATAAAGATCCCATACTAAACACGATAGTATAAGAATAAGAAGTCCTTAGTTGGAGCTGGGGATTTAGCTCAGCAGCATAAGCACCTGCCTGGCAAGCATAAGGTTCTGAGTTCAATCCCTGGTACCAAAGGAAAAATAAAGAAGTTTTTAGTTGTTTTCTACTCTTGTCTTTAGTCTTTTTCAAATCCTGCTATTATTACTCTCCAGCTAGTAATAGTACTTTGTCATAGACGAAGAGAAGAAGTAACCAAAAATGAGAAATCAAAATTTGTGCAAATGAAAACCATAATGAAGTCACCTTACGCCAGTAAGAATGGCTATTATCAAAAAGACAAAGGAGAGCAAGTACTGGCAAGAATGTGAAGAACACGGTGTCTCAGAACACTGCTGATAGGAATGCAAATTCTTGCAGTCATTATAGAATACAGCATACAAGTTCCTGACAGAATTAAAGATAGAACTTCCATATGCTCCAGCAATCTTAGTACTAGGTATTTATTCAAAGGAAATGAAATCAGTATGTTGAAGAAACACCAAACTCCCAGGTTTATTGCAGCACTATTCATAGTAGCTAAGAGATAGAAAGTATATACAAGTTGATGAATGAATGAATGAATGAATGAAAAAGCAGAGCACGGAATAGAGATGACTTATCTTGCAAGAAAGTAAAAAATGTGTGGTATTTAAGCACAGTGGATACTATTCCATTATGAAGAGTGAAAGTCTGTTTACAACAGCATGGACAGAACTGGAGACCATTATGTTAAGTGAAAGAAGACAGGCACAGTAGATGTGTACCACATGACCCTATTCATAAGTGGAATCTAAAACAGTTAATCTCATAGAAGTTGAGAGTATAATTGGAAGTTACCAGAGACCAAGGAGAATGGGAGAAACTGAGTTTTATAGTTACAGTTATAACTAGAGAAAAATAAGTTCTGTCATGCTATCATACAGTAGAATCACTATAGATAACAATTATGTACTTTATATTTTAAAAAGCGATATAAAGGACTTTAAATGTTTTACCATAAATAAATGATAATTAAAGGTAGATATGCTCAGCCTGATTTAAATATTGCATGATGTGTACCTGCATCCAAAAATTACTTGCTATCACATGAATACGTACAGTTTTTCTATGTATCAGTTAAAAATAAATGTAATTAAATGAAAGAAAAAGCCAAGATCAATCCCTGAGCCACAGAGCAATTTGACAAAGTCAGCTGTAACTGTAAAATGCAGATTAAATAATTTATACCTTATTTGATTCTTATTTTGAGACCAAATAGGCACCATTTTACAAGATATGGTTTCTGCTGTAAATTTTCCTCTAAAGATGATGCCAGGATAGACAAGTTGAAAAATTTAGGAAGCAAATGTACCATATCCATTCCAAACAGTCCCCTAATTTATATTTAAAATGTTCTCTTTAATACCTTTTCTTCATTCATAGAACGTCCTTCAAGAAGAAAATAGACACATATTATAATGATCTGTTTAGCAACAGCTTTGTTATAGTGCCAGGCAGCTTATAAATTGTAGGACAATGCCATACTAATATCCTTAGCTTTCAATATTTAACCCAGACTTCAGATATACATAATAGGGCCCTAAATCATCTGTGCCTACAATTTAGGTGAGGATTGCATCACAATTCCCTGAGAATTCCTCGTGCTTTGGAATTTTTGTCACTGTTTTTAACATTGGACCTAGGCAGTGGGAAGGCATATAATATTTTCTCGGGAAACAAATTAACAACTTGCCTTGTCTCTGCAGACCCAGGGGGCAGGCTCCCCTCGCTCCTCCCCCAGCCACACCATCAGCAGGCCCATCCCCATGCCCATCCGCTCCGCGTCTGCCTGCTCCACCCCGACGCACACGCCTCAGGACTCTCTCACTGGGGTAGGGGGAGATGTACAAGAGGCGTTTGCACAAAGTAAGTGCTTTTGTTGTTGTTCTGGTTGGCTTTCAGTGGCAAATAAGTCAGCAGGGTCCACCGGATGGTGGAGACTCGTCAGAGCTACAGCTGGCCCCAGGCTGGGCCACAGCCCGTCGGGAGCATCTTACAAATTCCCCGTGCTGATCTGCTCCTGGCTTCACCATTTGACCTTCCTGCCCGTTTCTTAATAAGTCTTTGTTCTTCGAGTTACAGGAAGTATTTTAACCCCCAGCATGCATGTCTTCTCTTAAAGCAAAGTCAAGACTGAGATTAAATAATTCCAGCTCCTTTAGCTCTAAGGTGATGGAGAAAGACATGCAATAATTCTTTAGCTCCCCTATAAAGATGCCCTACTGAAGTGTATTGCTGCCTCTACTAAACGAGGACATAAGGTTAGATCTCCATAGTCCGAAAAGACGTCGAGAGGCCTGGAGATAATAATCATTGCTCTTCATGGACAGGAATAAGAGGTACCTCGAAGCAAGTGATTCGACACTTTTCTTACAATCACTTGTCAAATTTAGAGTATAAAAAGAAAAATTCTCCTGCACATCTTTCAGCCAAGTCTATCTCTTAAACAGAAGTAACCCCTATTAAGAGTTGGCCCTTCTCAACTTTTTGTGTGTATACAAAGGGATATCTTTGTATTTATTGATAGATACAGTCTTTTTTCTCACGTAAATCAGGTCATGCATTGCATTTGGATCTGCAGTTTTTGTTTCTTAGAATTAAAACTGTATTGTGAACATCTTTCCACATCCTCATATAAAAACGAAGGGAAAGAAAGACATGTTTCAGTTTTAATTTTAAGACAAAAGGCAGCATAAACAAAATCAAAGGGCAAACAATCAAATATAAGGAAACCATTTCCAGGACATGGGATAAGTCAGCTTTCATAGCTTCAGCTGTAGATAAAGCATGTACAAATCAGTAAGTAAATGACACTCTCCCATAACAAAAATGGAAATATAAATTCCCTGTAAATACATGAAAAGCTGTGCAACCTCACATTCAATTTGTTGGAACACAAATTTTAATAAGTACCACCTTTTTCCTAGTGGATTTTTAAAAAAAAAAATTAACACTGTTAATACCAAGAACAGTAAGACTCAGGAAACAGACACTGTCATTTATAGTGGATGCGGTAAAACCTGAACACAGTACAATGAGAGAGAAAAACAGACTTTCTACTCTACATGAAAGTAAAGTTCTCATATTAGATCATTTTCTTCTAAGCACCGAATTCAATTCAAGAACAGTTTATGTACCTGAAAGAATAACTTTCTTCTTAAAATTTGTAAAGACAAAATATTCTTTCTCCCAGTTGAGTTTTAAAATCTACAGATTCTGCATTTTAAATCAACTTGTGCTTTCTATTATAATGAATGGATTTATCCAGTTACTTGGATTTCTTTAATGTACTTATTTAATGTCCTTAGTTAATATTGTTTTCTGAGAAATGATGGTGAAGTATAGCCCTGAGATAGCCCCTGGCTCATAAAATGCTCATGCTATATAATTGCATTAGTCACTCAGGTATATGGAATCTGGAACCTTTGTTTCCAAATATATTTTGCTAATTAGCCCTCTGTCCCACTCCCAGACCAGTCCTCAAATATCCATGTAACTCTTAGTGTGCCCAAAATGTAAGAACAATTTTTTTTCCGCCATAAACTATGTTCCTACATAATCTAATCTAAATTCCAGTCTGGGGTACCAGACATGTATGTGCCCATCTTGGAAGCAGGAACAAGATTCCTCCCCATATCCCACACTCAGGAAGAATACAGTTCATAGGCTGCCTATTCCCAGGAGCTCCCTATCCTGCTAGGAAAAGCTCTAGCAGCTCTGATAAGAGACCAACCCTGTGCTGACAGAGACACAATCCAGTGTGCTCAGCTACAGCATAATAGCCAGAGCAATAACAATAGACAGGGTGCGCAGGTCTCCTGGAAAACTGACTCTCCATCTGTGCATTCCTAGGAAAGGTGTCTGCACATGCTGGTTTACCTTCCCAGTTTGTACCAGTTCAACTGGTCTTATTAATGCCATTCCCTTCCCCTTTCAACAATGTCCCACTTAGACAATTAATTAATTACATGAACCACCATTACCAGCCATGTCCTCTTATCAAGAGCCACTACCCTAAGTGCAGTAGTTTTGTTGTGATTGTTGGTTTTGTTTTTAGGACAAGAACCAAAGGAGAAATATCAGGAATCTTGTTGAAATAAATTGTCAATGGAAATGACAAACAACATAAAAACTTGGGTAAAGGAACAGCTTAGATTTCTTAAGGTTTTTCTCTTTACTGAAGGTTCAAGAAGAAATCTAAGGAATGATTTGCTAGTGGCAGCAGATTCCATCACTAACACCATGTCTTCTCTGGTGAAAGAGCTGAATTCAGGTGAGTCCCTGGTCTCTACTCACTTGTGTGCTCATCACAGAGGGACTCATCCAAGGGCCCCTCTTAAATTCCTGCTCATTGTCAAATATAAAAAGATATTTTAAAGGTCTATGTGATATTGTGTTGATATATTCAGATGCTTGGTAATGTTTATATTTTGCTTATTAGAAGACAATTAATATTATAACCAATGCAGAAAATTTGGGAAATGCAGAAAAGAATAAAGAAAAATATTAAAATTGATGCATACTTTAGATTCCAAAGATAACCACTGTTAACATATAGCATAATCCATAACAACATGACGCTGGACTTATTTCAAAGGGTCAAGTATTTTATTGACCTGTTACACTGTATTGGGAGTGATAATCTTTGAATGAAGCTAAAATGACATTTACCTTTGCAATATTAACAAAGAAAAATCTGCCCAAAAATGAATATATTAAAATTGCAGAACAATCTTTAGCTTCCTAATATCACATAAAGTTTTTAAAACTTTAACAGTGTGAATATACAAATAAATATTTTAATGGGCATTAATGCATCTCCACCTATTTCTTAAAGCAAACCTAGCAAGATATTTGTTAGACTGGACTATGGTGTGACAGCTGAGATTACAACTGTAAGAAATAAAATGTAGGTATTTTTTTAAAGCCTGAGCTTACATTTCTAATAAGAAGTCAAGTAACTGAAAATCGTTGTTTCTATTTAAGATTATCAAATAGGCTAAAGCAACATGATTAGTGAACATCTACCATCCTAACAAACAGTAACTGACAGTGAAAGTCTCATGTACAATAGTTTATACTCATAACTCTTTAAAATAGAGATTGCAATATTTTGGGGCTGTATTTTCTAAATTAGAGTAATACTAAGTAACATAATTTTAATGGGGACATTTTGCAGAAAAAAAAACACTTTTAAAAAGCGAAGTCAGTAAAACAAAAATATTCCTCATAACAATTTTGAGACAGAAAATGTTGCATTCCAAATTATAGTAATTTGTGTATCAATTCTCATTTTGAAAAATATTGATTTGACTAATGTACAGTAAATGGCTAATGTTTCATACAGCACATCCTGATTTATGTTAAGCCCAGTCCTTTATTTGAAGGTCATAAACCATCTAACAAGTCACTCTTTATTTCTTTGGTTGTATCACTAGAGGTGGGGAGTGAAACAGAGAGTAATGTGGATTCTGAATTTGCACGGACTCAGTTTGAGGATCTGGTTCCATCGCCCACCTCTGAAAAGGCTTTTCTAGCACAGATCCATGCACGAAAACCTGGGTACATTCACGGGAGCGCTACCACCAGCACCATGCACAGTGACCTGTGAGTATGTATAGTGTCCATAGCAGAACAATCAGTAAGGAACAATGAAAGCCACAGCATGGTTGTTTAGATCTTTACTTGAGAAAAGTAATGATGCAGTTTCCCTTTCTGCCAAAAGAGGCAGAAGGGTGGATACATTTAAATTAGACTCTGGGAATCTTTCCCACCCCACCCTTATGCTTTCCAGGAAATATCAGTAAAAGAAACCAACTTGTGCTTATTGCAGTGACGCTTCTCAATTTATGATAGTTACATCCTGATAAACCTCTCACAAACTGAAAATATCACAGACTGAAAATGCATGTAATATAACTAACTATGGAATAGCCTCCTTGAGCAACACAGAACACTGCAGCTCAGTTATGTGCACTCCTGACCCATGGGGGTGACAGGGAGCTGCTGCTGCCCAGCATCAAGAGGCAATACCTACTGCGGGTCAGAAGTTAGCTGAATGATCCAAATTCAAAATTCAAAGTGTGGGTGCTCCTGGGAGCACACTGCTTTTTCATCATTGCAAAGTTGTCAGTCAAACCCTAGTAAGTTGGGAACATCTGTAATATAAGAAAAAGAGAGAGAGACAGAGACAGAGAGACAGAAAGAAAGAAAAAGAAAGAAAGAAAGAAAGAAAGAAAGAAAGAAAGAAAGAAAGAAAGAGAGAGAGAGAGAGAGAAAGAAAGAAAGAAAGAAAGAAAGAGAAAGAAAGAAAGAAAGAAAGAAAGAAAGAAAGAAAGAAAGAAAGAAAGAAAGAAACTAACTGCATTTACCTTTCTAGGACTCACAAGCAAATTCAAGAAATCAGTCATTCTGTCTTTTGAACTTAGTACATTTGCACTTATCCCATGATATTGGACAGGCGTTTGCTCACAGTGGATGTAAACAAAAACATTTGGATTGAAATAAGTAAATATTTAAAATTCCGTTATAAAGAGATACCTGACCCTCTGCAGAAGACTTAATTTGTGAAAATGTACATGCTGGTAAATTTCTGTAGCTTGATTCAAGCTTGCAGAATCAGTGACATTCCCATTACATTTATCTGTGGCTCTCAAAGTAGTTAGCAGAGGAAATCAAGTCTAAAAAGCAAAGCTTGGAGAGAGCTGCAGAGCCCAGCTTGGGAAGGAATAAAGACGGGAAGGAAGTGAACTCTTTGGAGCATCAGTTTCATGAAGTTATGAGAATCACAGCTAAAGCCTGACCCAAAGGCTAGGAAAGGGAATTGGAAAACCCTAAAAGATGACAGGGTGACACAATGTGAGAAGTACTTCAGACTACTCTACAGAAATAAACTGGCTACTTTAAAGATGTGATGAAGAAACCAGAGGCCTTCATTTCAGCCATCAATCCAAGAAGCAAGCAAAAGCAAGGAGTGCTGGAGAGTTATAAAGAGACCTAGTTTGAAAGCCAGATGTGAGGCAGCAGCGTGTACAATCAGAACAAAATAGTTAAGATGTAATTCAGAATGGCAGTGTGCAGCTGCTTCTAATTTTAGTTTGCTTTCTTTTCCTCCCCTCTATATTTTAGAATTGTTTGATTTGTTTGTTATTCCAAATCGAAAATTATCATCTGTTTTGTCTGGTAATATATATCTCTTTGGCTTTATATGGTTAAGTATTCACACGGTATCTACCTAAAATCTCTTTGTCTCAGTACTAAAATCTAAAACTTATTAAAGACCACTATGACCGCCAGTCTGCTGAGCCTGGTTTATCCCAGAGCAAGACCAGTTGCTCCAAGTGTTTGGGGAGTTAGAAAAGGGAGGTTGACAGAAGCCTCACACACACATTTAGTCAGCCTTCAATGAGAACATGTCATGCAAATATAAATAAGCATGAAGGATGCATTTAAGTTCCAACCCAGAAACAATTCCTTGAAACGAAATTTTAGGGAATATTTTAATATCAGTACCGTTAACCATGTAGAAACTGCATTTTACCTAAAAATATTACAGTCCTATGATTTAAGTACTGGGTTTTTGTTGAGCTCCATGAAGCACCTTACACATGCTAGGCTGAAAAGATGGAGATAGAGTCTCATAATTCTTACCTATTGTATAATGAAATTAGGCCATTTAGGTGGGCTTTTCAAGTTCAAGCTAGTATAAAATTTTAAAGTCAAAGCTATGGGGTAGAGAACTAGCCTTCTTGGCATCAATTTGCTGATGATCCAAGACTCAATTCCATTTAAAAAAATAAATCCAGTATGTATGACACAAAGACAGTTAAATTAATCTGGGTATGCTAGCCCACCAGTGTGATCCTAGCATTCTGGGAGACTGAGGCAGGAGGGTCATAAATTGAAACCCAGCTTAACCCAGGCAACTTAGAGACTTAACAAGACCAGTCTCAACATATGGATGATAGACAATCAATTCATCAATTGATTGATAGATAGATAGATACATTTTTAAGAGTTAGGGATGCAATTCAGTGCATATGTAGCCCTGGATTCATTCTCCAGAGGGAGAGAGAAACACATTATGAACAAATGTCCTTAAGTATTATTTCACTAAAGGGCTCACTCTCCTTATTGACAAGGTTCTTCATTTCTATTTTTTAAAGCCCCTATATTGGGAAAACTTAATATCCCCAGACAAATTTGTCTTTTTTAAAAATATAGAACATGTAGAGGGTCACACTCATTCCTGCAAACCCGAGAAAAACAGATGAACAGACTGCAATGGGGGGAAAAAAGTGTATGAAAAGATTTTAATGATCTATTTTTCCAGCCCTCCAATATTTTAACAAGTTTTCCTTTAGGTCAAAAAAAAAAAAAAAAAAAAAAAAAAAAAGGCAGGAAAGCGAATTGGAGCACTATTGAAAATAAATGTGCTAACCAAACTACAGCTGTCACACGAATCCCACTCACGCTTCTCTTAAAAGATTTGCTCCAAAAACGCCATCTGCACTTTATTCCCAGAGCTGCTGAAGACGGGGACCCCTATGTCCAGCCAGAAGAGGAGAACTATGAGAACGACTCAGTCCGGCAGCTGGAGAACGAGCTAAAGATGGAGGAATACCTGAAACAGAAACTGCAGGATGAAACTTACCAGGTATGGAGCCAGCTGCCCACCTCACCTCCACCCACAGCCCACCTCGGGTAGGGAGCCTTTCACACCGCTCCGTCCTTCTACCCTGCTTTCAAGAACATTTTAGGACACTCCTTCACCCATGTATTCCAGCAAAAGCCCATGTATTCAGTATGAGGACCCAGAGTCCTTGCACAGGGCTATATCTCCAGTCTTGTTTTTAATTTTTTATTTTGAGATAGGGTTTCACTGAGTCACCAGGCCTTAAATTTGTGATCCTCCTGTCTCACCCTTCCAGGGTGCTGGGATTACAGGCACGTGCCACCATGCCCTGCTTTACACACCTCTTATAGTGTCACACTATCGCTCCCTATGCATTCTTATTAGTTCTGGTCTGGAAAATGAAAGGAGACCTGAGATATTAGTGAGAACATAGTGACTAACAATCAAAACTCCTCTGAGATTATTAAGATTCTGTGTTTTCATAAATTAAGAAAGAAGAAGGCTCAGTGTGGTGATGCACATCTACAGTTCCAGCCATTTGGCAGGCTGAGCAGGAGAATTGCGAGTTTGAAGCCCCCCTGGGCAGTGGAGACTGACCTTGTCTGAAAACTTAAAAGGGGTGGAGATGAAGCTCAGTGACAGGGTCCTTGCTAACATGGTCAAGGCTCCGAGTTCAGTCTTCAGTACTGGAAAAAAGAAGAAAAAGAAGAGGAAGAAAGAAGAAGGGGAGGGAAGGGCAGGGGAGGGGGAAGAAAAGGAAGAGTGAGGAAGAGGAGGAGGAAGAGGATGAAAACAGAAGAAGAAACGGAAGACGAAAAGATGATGTCAAGGAACAGAGTGCAAGGAAATGGAATCAACATATCTACTCCTCCCTGATACATTTGTGGTCCACAGTCTCTCCCACTGCCCATCTCATGCCAGATATAGGTGGAAGGGTGACAAGACTTCCTGGGAAATAGCAGAGAACCTCTAGGCTCAGGTTCCACAGGTTTAAGATAACACAATCTTGAGATAACCTGGAGTTTATTAACCCATTTGAGAGTTCATAACCACAGCACATGCAAACGGGAATAGATGTGATTAGTCACTTATCCTGCAGGCAGTGCAGCTTCCCCAGGATTGTTCCACAGCCTTGTTTATCTCTGTGTGCATCCTTTCTCTTCAGTCCACAGGTGGTACTGAAGATGTGTCGTTGGCTCAGGGGGGTTTGCCTGGTAGAGACCTGTTGGTCCTTGCCCTGTTGGGTATTTTTGGCCTATCAGATTTTCCAGAGGCCAAACAAGCTTTCTCCATATTCTTAGGACACCAGTGATGCTTTTTTACTATTAGTCAAGGACAGAGAAACTGAGGGGAAAATTGGCTCCTAGTTCTTAAATATTTATACATTAAGTCTTGAAATATTTTCCAAGAAGAATATAGCAAGAGAGAAACTGAAGTTCAGCCCCTGCCTTGCAAGCAGGTGGTCATGAGTTCAATCCCCGGTACCAATAAAAAACAAACAAACAAACAAACAAACAAAAAAAGAAACTGAAGTTCATCCACTTCACCCCACAGTACAAAGCAAAAGTGTCGCCCCTTTTGAATGTTCCAGTGGTCTTTCAATTTAACAGTCACATCTGAGAAGAAACCAAAATGATCTTCTAATTACACAAGAAGAGTGATAACCTATATGGAGTCATGCACCTGTGCTACAAAAACATAGTTACTCGATTGCAAAACCATAGAGTACACTCTTGCCCTGTGACTTCTGTAGCTCCTCTACAAAAAGGAATAGCCTAGAATAAAGCGGGGAGGACCTCCCTGAGAACTCTGAGGGATGGCATTCTTACAAGTACCCTACATGGCAAAGAAGGAAAGAGATGAGGTACATAACCAACGCTCTGGTTCATGATGTGCAAGATGGCTGCTATGCCTCCCTCTGAGTTCAAATCAGTTTCTGGGTTTTGGTGACAAGAGCAATTGAAATTCTAGAAGTTCTTTTAAAGAAAAACAACCTTTTATTATTCTATATCAAATATTAGATTTTTATTTATTTTAATAAATTAGAAATTTAACCTTAGGTGAGTAAAGTGAAGAGTGTATCTCTTCACTTTGGATGTCTTAAGATCCAACTGAGCATCTCCGGTAAGTCTTAAGCTCCTTGTCTCTCTCCTTACCTTTCCACACTTGGTAACTTCATGGGAAAGGATAGGGAAGGAGCTGGGAGAAGGTTGCAAGCTCCTGTGTCCTCACTTGAAACATAATATCCTCTGGAGAACACTGAAGTGGTTTTCCTTGAATGCTTTGTGAGCAGACAGTGATTGGATGGTTCTGAACGCTACTTTCATTCATTGGACTGTCTCTGTCTTTGTGCATGGCTTCCAGCCAAATAATTCACCAGCTTGACTGCATCACTGACTTGACATGTCACCTTTCTTGTTTGTGTCCTTTGTCACCCACAGGTCAGCTTGCAAGGTTGAATGCAATATCCTTTTATCACTCTCCTCTCAAGTAAGTACCCTCTTGTTTAGGAGGAAACATGGACACTGTACACTGAATTCTGATAACTTGTAGCCTAAATTCACAATCACTCTGTCTTAGGTGTTAATATCTTCCTTCCCTGCTAATATCAAAGAAACATCTCAGTTTACAGAGTATTTCATTGTACTCCAGCAGAAATTTCCCAAACTTCATTGAGAATTGACTTTTTACTTTGTTGATTAGGAAAATTGATGCACAAGAGAAAGCCCCAGGTGCCTCTTTGGCCAGGAAGCGAAGGTAGCCCCATCACCAATGCATCACAGCATCAGAATATCTACCCTCTGATACATCAGTAGGAGATCAACTTGTTCAGCATTTCTAGATAGGTCAGCTCCTTCATCATGCTGAACTCAAGGTCTAAAGGACCATTAATGTGTACCTTAACAAGTGAAAGCAAAATCAAGTATCATTAAAGAAATAAAAGAATCAAAACACAGGACAAAAGTCTGTAGCCTTGTATTTTGGAGATAACCAATTCTATTATGGAACTGAGAAGGATATAAAATAATTGAAAATAATATTCATAGGTTATGTGACCCAATCCTCAAGGAACTACCTAAATATGTGTAAAATCCTCAGTGGTTTTTAATGTAAAAAGAATTGTACTTGGTTGGCAGAATCACTTGAAAGTAGTGGTCTGGTGCTTGGATTCTGTTAGAGCTAATTTCAAATACAGTAGAATATTTCACCAAATCCTAGCAGCAAAATATGAGCAAATTACTAGACCTGTAATAGCCTCAGTTTCCTCTATATGACACATGTCATAACATCTACCTTACAGAGGAGCTATGCTTCCTGGAATACAGTGATACAATGGCAGGCACACTATAATTTATCGCAAACATACACAAATATTCCTGACACTGCGCCTCATGCTTTACAGGCAATTTAATACCTAGAGTCGGTGCAGCAGCCATGCAAGTGTATGGGAACATTGAAACTCAAAACCGGCTGGCTCTCTCCACTTTTATAAGCCAGGCACACACTCAGCCACATGCAATGGTTTGAGAGACCTAGGGCTACACTGTCCCATAAATCTAGATGGCTTTTCTGTTCAGATATATCCCATTATAGTTCCAAGCTAGTCTAGTTGCAGTGGCCCAAGGTCTTGTGTTTATTTTAGATATACAGTCCTTTCCAAGTATGGAATTCCATAATGCAACTGAAAATAAACTTTACCTACCATGATTGCTAATTAAAAAGATATAGATAGATGATAGATAGATAGATAGATAGATAGATAGATATAGATATAGATAGATATTTCCTCTGCAGAATCTCAATCAGTAAAGAACAGAAGCTAGTCTGAACACTACTAACCTGTCTCAGCCTTTAGCTTAAGATTAAGCAAAGAAAATCTCACATATTTGCTATGATAAAATACACTTTATGAGCTGTGAGGAAGGATCTTACTGGCCACACTCTACTCTTCCTCCCTTATATTTGAGAATGTAGTACCACGTCCTCTCTAGATTCATTATGACTAGAATAGAAAAATTCCCAGGAGCAGTCTCCAAAGATATTCACTCTAGTTAAAACAAACCTAGTCTCCAAGAAGCCAACCTTTTCCTTTAAGCATGAAAGTATGTATGAAGTTTTGAAAGTATGAAAATTTTCAGTACCTGCAAGCTCTTAGGCCATCTATTAATCTTTTGTTTTAAATTTGGCAGTGAAAAATTAAATAGTTGTGATATCAGCTATTTATTGCCTCAGGTACCCTGCCTAATATGCATTTCACAGGACTTTAAACAGAACAGCCTGTTGCTAAATCAGCCACTTAGGCACAATTCATTTAAAATCTAATAGAACAATATAAAAGGCTAGTAGCTTTTCATCTTTGTAGCTAGTTCTATCCTACCATAATTTTTCTTAATGTAGCCAAGAAATCCAATTGAAATTTTAAAAGCTTATATTATTAAAGTATTTTTGTTTGGATTTTATGACTGTGCTACAAGACAAAAAATTATCCCAGCGTATACGCCTCTTACCCATAGATCCTGAGCTGATTTCATCAGTTTGATGCCAGTCAGCCATCTGCCAAGGCAGACCTGTACATGGGTATGGAACAGAGGGTGAAGCAACAGAGACATAGGAGGTTCATGATCTGGCTGAATAGGACTTTAGGCTTAGTTGAAAAAACACACTTATACTAAGCACGTAAATAGAGTGCTGGGTTATTGCTTTTCATCTAGTCACTTTTGAACGAATAGTATACATAATAGTTAGTACTCCACCTAGTGTTCTTCAAGGCTCCATTTTGGCCCATTCCTTTCTTTGGATTTGTCATTTTTTTCATCCTCTGGCCACGTGGTGTATCACCATCCTTGGCCTCACATCCTAACTTCAAAAACTGGGGGACTAAACCATTGAAAGTGGATTTTAAAAAAATCCAGAGGGCATTGTGGATGGTTAGTATTTTCACACAAAGAATAGCACAGATGTTTGTTTGTATTACTTAAACTTTCCAGATAGCTCAGATTCCCCTTAAGAAAGAGACTCAACAAGGAGGACTTCCTGTCCTCTCTTCCAGAAAGTGTGGCAGTGCACAATGTCGTATAGGACATCTGTCCCTGATTGCCTAATTGGCATAGGAAGGCAGTGCAGTGAATGTCTATGCATGCATGTGTGCGTGTGTCTGTGTGTGTGTCGGGGAAAGGGGAATCCTAAGATTCACAGTTCTAATTTAGAAACAGTTTTCATCTTTTAAAAAAAATTACACATTCCTTATTCCCAGGCAAGCTATAGTCAGACAGATGATGAAAGTAACATGAAAAATGATGATGGTGGAGAGCGATGTACCCACACAGAGGAGGAAGACAGCAGCTGGCAGCAGCCTCGTCGAAGAGAGGAGTCACCACACCCAGCACCTCCCGACAAACCCCACTCCTAAAGATGTGTTCTGATGCCATAGTGCAGCTAATTTTTTGTTCTAAGATTTGTAGTTCATAGGTTTGTGTTCTAGAAGGGGAAAAAATTGACTTCTGTTCAACTTAATTTCTCAGCTACACCTTCTGTAACACAGCTCATCCTTGAGAATCCATGCTGCTGTTACACACGATGGCAGTATTAACAAAGCATCTTAAACTTCTGCACATGATATTGAACTCTTTCAGTTTACAATGACAATATTAATACTGTTTAAGAGCTAGAAGTTTGATTTCTGGGTTCGTTGAGATTTTAGCAAAACAGTTTATTATACACTGTACATTTTTTTCCACTGCAATTGGAAAAAAACAACCACTTGCAATTATTCACTAACCCTGACGGATTTGGTTCCTGAGTGTTCAGACTCACAGCCCAGAGGCCATAAAGGGTCTTTGGTCTTCAGCTCACCCCAAGTCTTGGTGAGCAGTGACTTGAACCAAACACCAGGAATAATCCATTGTTTGGGACTTCTTTCCAACTTGAGGTTGTTTTCTTTCAAGATATTCTAACAAGTCAGCCATAGAATTTAGTGTACATATTTTTTCCAAATAGATATCATATTCAAAAAAAGACGACATTCAAATTATATAGAATCTAGTTTTTAAAATCAGCACAGATCTTCTTAAAAACTGTGAACTATGTTTTGAAATACTCGTTACTAAAGCTGTTTATAAACCACAGGTGCCATAAGATCCCCAAATGGACTAAAGTTATCTATGCTCTTCCACGGTCTTGTTCCTCTCGTTTTAGCTTTAGGAAGCATGTCTCTAACAGCACCACACAATTCCCCTATCAGGTTGTTTGGAGGCCTTCAGCTTTAAATGTACAGGCTTAAAGTGCGCTTGCAAACGTTCACTCTCTCCTTTTATTTCTGAATGTTTATTGCCTTAGCTGGCCACCTGGTGTCCTGCATGCCGTGTTCTGTGGTCATGTGAGACAAACTCTTCTGTGTTGAGTTGGGATTTTGCACTCAGTGAGAAGCTGAAATGCAAAAGAACTGTCAAAGGCAAGAGGATGAAGGCTCTGTTGGTGGTCCCTTTTGAGGGCCCTTGCTCTAAAGATCTCCCTTAGGGATTCTGGGAAAAATGGAAAAGTAATCTATTAGTTTCAAGATCTGAATGGGGTGGAGACCCCCATACACAACATATTGGACATGTTGTATTTAAATCAGTAGCTTCGCTAGAATTCCTGGTTTTCTTTTAAAAGAGAACATCATCATAGAACAGTGGTTCTCAAAATGTAGCCCCCACAGCAACAGCAGCAGCAGCAACTGACGATAACGTAGAAATACAAGGTCCTCAGTCCCAGCCCAGGCCTGCTGAATCAGAAACTCTGGGGGTTGGGCCTAAAAGACTGTGTTTTAATTTGCCATCCAGATTATTCCAACACATGCTAAAGGTTGAAAACCACTGCTTTGAATAAAATATATCAAATAATCTCTGAAAAAACTCTATTCAGCATTAAAAACAAAGAGGTTGGACTGGAGGTATAGCTCAGCGGTGCAAGCACCTGCCTGCCAAGTGCGAAGTTGTGAATTCAATCCCCAGTACCAGAAAAAAAAATAAAAAACAAAAGTTTCAATTGAGTCAACCTCAATTCAGTTTTGCTTCAGGGTCTGGCAAACACCTTCTCTCACCCACACGCCTGATCTGCATCGGAAGGTCCCTGGCTGAGAACATGTATTCTGACAACTTCAGGCTCCTTTTCCAAGGCCTCTCAAATGTTCACACCTCTGCATTTGGTCAGAAACCATCCTCTTGGCTGCCCTTGAGAACAAAATCACTTGCCTTGGGGATAATAAAGTGCTTGATTGGGGTCAGTAAGGCTCCTATCCTGTGCCTGGATGTACCTACTCACACTTCCCTCCAGAGAACCCCCCATAACAGATGTCCCTGAGCCCAGGCTAACACCAAAGTGGCACAACTACATGGTTCTCAGATTTCTTTGCACAGACGGATTGTATCGTGGGTTTTGTTGATATGTCTTAATGTTCATCTCTCTTCCACTGCCCATCCTCTGTGAAATCATACCTCTCTAGATGGAGCAGGTGGCCACTGGTGCCTCATACTCAGTACTGAAAACCACTATGTCCCAGCTACCTACATTGCTGTCAGCTCAAAAATCAGAGCCAGAAGGTTCTACAGACCCTGCAAGTGGCACTCAGCCACTGACTGGACTGAGCTGACATGCGTTGTCTCTTTGTGTGTCTACATCTAAATGTCTGTCTAAGGTTGGAACTGTTCTGCTGAAGACCTTCCCCTTGTCATAGTTTCCATTGCCAACCAACTCCATCACACGGGCGTTGACACCATCGTACAAAGCCATTGCAAGGACTCTGGAAATTACCGCCAGTGACCAATTTCTGACTAACCAGCCACCTTTTCTTTCTCTTAGCTCCACGTCAGCACTGAGACCAGACTCAAGCACCCCTGTCCTGTAACCGAGACAAAATGGCGTGTGTTGTTTTGGGTTTTTGTGTTTTTTGGTGGATTTCTTTCATTGGCTCTCCAAATTTACTTTTGGAGCCTGTTCTAAGTACAAACCCAGCAGGTTTCTTCTGTCCTGTCCATTAGATACAACTATGTCTTAACGGGGTTGTTTCTTTCTTAGTCCACGGTGAATTGCACATCTGTCTCCATCAGAGCTGATGGCCTATTAATGAGCACTGGTCTAACACAGCCAGCCTCCCACAGTACCATGTTAATGGAGGCAGGGAGGAGGGAGAAATCTACTGTATAGGATTCAGGAATCCGTTGTGGTTGGTAAGGATGGAAGTCGGGGTAAGTTTGGTTGGTCAGAGGGAGATGTGCTGGAGATTGTGAAAATGGATTCTCAGAAGATCTACTATTAAGGCAGGGAAGGTTCATTTGTAAGTAGTAATGTGAACTGAATTGCATTAAGAGTGTGGCCTTGTTGTGATAAACTATGTATTTTCTTATATGCATGAGCCAAACTGTTGCATCATAATTTACACTGGTGTCTGTTTTTATTTTGATCATCTTCATCCTCTCTTATTAGTTCTTGGCTGTTAACTGTAGATAGATCTTGTAAATACAGCAGCCTTTGGTTGCTGCATTCACCTTAGTTGATCCCACACAACGAGCCACAAACAAGAACTCTACTATGTCCTCAAAAGAAAGGGCATTTTTACTTTTGAACCAAAAAGAGAAAAAAAATCAGAAATGTTACATCTTGAGGCTAATGATCTGTGAGACATTTTTAATTATGACTACTATAATTTGACACCATTTGAAATAACCAATCAAGAGACACTAAAGATTTCACAATATTCATTGGTGTTGTAACAAAACTACTATTGTATGGATTTTTTGTATTGCTGTTAAGTATTGTTTTGTGTGTATGTGTGTGTGTATGTGTGTGTGTATGTGTGTTGGAACCTCCTGGGGACATGTTATATTTTGAAGTGATTAAACTATTTAATTGTGTGTCTATATTTTGGAATGGAATTATTTCTTCATTAAAAATGTTTTTAAAAACACTATATCATGCATGTTTTGTTCCTTGGTTTTAATGAGGAACACAGAACAACACAGAATGAATTTATGCAAAGAAAGACGGGTCACTGTTTGCCGTATGGAGCAGGACCACTGATGGGAGCTTGAGCAACTGAGAAAAAGTTACCCACCTTCTCCTGAGAATATTTGTGTGGTGAATACACACACACACACACATATATGTGTGTGTGTGTGTGTACATACAGAGAGATTATAAATACATATACACATATATATACATATACATATAGAGTGCCAAAAACAGTGTACATACACTTGAGCAGCTCTCTGGACTGATAAGTGTCTAGAAGTTAAAGGCCACTACTTTGAGCACCTCTTGTATATATAGAGGCCAAAGGTAATTTGTATTAATCTCATGATGCCTTAATAAATTTAGTATTAAAATATACAAGTTTTCCTATTCCTGATATACACATTTAGGCAGATTCTATATATAGATATAGGTGCAGGTGTATAGATATTTACCATGATTTAAGCTAATGAAATCGTGGGAATCCCTGAATCAATCGCAGGTTAGTGAGAAGTGTAAATGGCTCCTCAGACTTATGACTGATCCTAAGTGGGGACAGTCTCGTGGAGGACTATGTGTTCCACCTGTGGGATGTGTTCTTACATCTGGAAGGCATGATTAACTATATTCAAGGCAGTTGGTAGATCAAATAAGGCAGGAACAAGCAATCAACCCAGGAGGTGTACTGAAATGAATGAATGTATCTTTAAGAAGTTCTTTGACGTTTTCACATTGCAAGAGATCCTATACTTTCAGTGAAATCTTAAGGAACACTGAGTGGAAATTTAATGTTTGATTTCGCTCTGAGAGCCTTAGGGGACTTGCTGTGCCTCACAGCACTTTGCACATCTATTACCATGCCTGATGGGGTCCAGGACAGGTTTCCAGGTCCTTGTGTGTGACAAAGAACTGGATGTAGCACATGACAGTAAGGCAAAAGCAGCAACGTTTAATGAATTTAAAAGGGGAAATTATATGCAGAACAAGCGGGTTCATACAGAAGGAAAATGCTGTGATGGATTTAAGAATGCACAGTGTTATGCTGGGCCTAGGGCATCTCTCACTGGGCCTTTCAGAGTGTGACTGACATCAGTAACAGGATGCTGAGTGCTGTCAGTTGTATCTATTTAGTATATCACTTCCCATAATTTACTCTGTTATCACTGGATATTTAAGATGGGGCCCATGTGTACAAACCTCTAACAAGTTCCATGTGAAGGTCACTGTAGGTCATGCCAACAAGTCTAGCACACAGGCATGCCGGTTTGGGGTTTCTGAAATTTTCAAGGATCTTTGTTATTCTTATTTCCAGGTAGACAAAGGTTAGAGAGACTGGCTCTGAGGTACTGCCCATGTTCAAGTGAGTGGACGAGAGCCATCCCATAGCCCCAGCTGTACTATCCTCAGAGTCTGCCCAAAAAAATGTGCACACACTTCAGCAGTTCACCATACTAATAAGTGTCTGGAAGCTCATGGCCACCACTCTGAGCACGTCTTATAATTGCAGAAGCCAAAGGTAACTTGTATTAATCTCATGGTGCCTCAATAAGTTTAGTATTAAAATATTTACACAAGATTTTCTTTTCCTGATTGTAAATTTTTTGGTGGACTCTGTATACTAAATCCACAGAGTTGATTGCCATCTCCACGCACCCTCACAAGCCAGCTCACTGTCCACATTGCCATCTGGGGATAGCAGTTCACAGAGACAACCCTGACAATGTTCATATTATGATAGGCTACTAACAAGTAAGTCAAGGTAGAAAATATTCCACTAATGATAAAATATTCCACTATTTGGAATGACTTTTTTAATGAAAAGGATATATAATTATTATTTTTGGAACAGAAGTCTTTCTTTTATTACCTTTGAAATTTCATCTACCTCCATTATTTTCAGAGAAAGACTAAATTATAAAATTCTCTTGCTTTCTGTTAAATTGTAAAGTTTGACATTAAAATTCAATGACTCTGCCTTTCTGTCGTATCATGTGTTTGTTTCACATTACTAGTGATTGCTCTGAGAGCTAAATTAAGTGGAAGGATATATATGAAAGCTTGACCTAGCATGACACTACACTTGTGAGAAGCACAGGGTGTGTCAGAATTTTCCTTCATTCCCTTGTGTAGTTCACAATCCTCATTCGTAAAATAGGGGCCATAGATTTTCTTTTCAGAAAACTTACACAAAAATAAATTTAACTTAAAAACAAATCTAATAAAATCTCTTCAACCTCATTAGGAATAAAATGAATGGAAATCAAAACAGTGTTCCACCTGTTTAAAAACTTATTACAATATATGAGCAAAATTTCTTAGCAGAATCAGCAAATCTAGTCAAGGTAAAGTATTTGCTGGTAAATATAAACACTTGTGAAAAGTTTGTGCAAGAAAAGAACAGAAAAGAAAGACAGGGGAGGTCAGTAAGGAAGGACAAAGGAGGGATTCAAAACTGTTCTTACTTAATGACCCAGTAACACCACATCATAGACCCTCTCTTTAAAATATTAAACTTTCCAACAAAAATATGAGTAGCTTTAAAATCTGAGAACAAAAACTAATTAAGTCACAAACACCAAAACAATGCAATATTTTTACATCTTGCAAATGTTAATGTATAAACAATTAAATGATTATTAAATAATCAGAATGTAAAATGGGCAACAGTCTAACAGTTTCTGAAAAGGTTAAATACAGCATTATCATATGACTCACAAATCCTATAAGAAAAATGAAAATACACATAACACAAAATTTGTATGCAAACATCATAGCAGAATTATTCATAGTAAGAGAGACAATAGAAATAAATGTCAATCAATTGGTGAGTGGGTAGACAGAATCTGGTATATGCATACAGCAGACTGTTATTTGGAAATAAAAAGGAATAAAGTAAAGATTGAGTAACCCTCATCTGAAATGCATAGTAACAGAAGTGTTTCGGATTTAGATTTTTTTAAATTTTAAAATATTTGCATTTACATAATGAAATATCTTGGGGGGGGAACCCAAGCCTCAACACAAAACTTAGTTGTGTTTTATCTGTATAGGTATGATAGATAGATAGATAGATAGATAGATAGATAGATAGATAGGCAGATAAATAGAGCACCAAAACATACACATACTTAAGAAAAAACAATGTAAATATTTTAATATTAAATTTATTGGACATTAGGGCACAAAGTTACCTTTGGGCCCTATAATTTCAAAAGGTGCTCCAGTGGTGGTCATTTATTAGTATGGCAAACTGCTGCTTGGGTAACTTTGGTTATTGAGATTGCTGCATGTCCATTTCAATTTTTTTCTCTAAGGGCCAGAATTGTAGTGGGTTTTCTTTGGTGTACAACATCCTCCAGGGTCTCCCATATGAGGGTAACACATCAGTTGAAAAAATACCCCACAACTTTTCCTTTCCTGAAATGTGTATACATCTTTTGAAAGAAACTGAAGGTAATTTTATATTATAGTTCTAGTGTATCTGTCTCTTTTTTTTTAAGACAATCTGGCCCCATATGTAGTTGAGGCCGGCCTTGAACTAGCTATCTAGCTAAGGCTGGCCTGAAGCTCACAGTGATCCTCTGTCTCGGCTTCCTGAGTGCTTGGACTACAGCTATGCACCACCACACCTTGCAGGTGCTCTTACTTTTTGATCTGTGGCATGAAGGCAGGAATTTCACTCATTACATTATGACAGCACTCAAAAAGTTTCAGATTTTGTAGCATTTTGAATTTCAGATTAGGAGGCAAACTGCACTGATACATGAAATATCATGGTAGAATCTTGAACAATGATAATAGGTGAAAAAAATCAATCAAAACACGTAGCATATTGTTTTATTCCACTTGCATAAAATATCCAGAATAGTGAAACACACAGAGATAGAAAGTGGCTTCGTAATTGTTTAGAGCTGAGGGTTGTAAAGAAAAAAAGCTTCTCATGTTAATGGTTGCACAGCTATGTAAATTCAACAAAATCATTGAATTATATGCTTTGGATGAATTGTGTGCTACATGGATTATATGTCAATAAAGCTAGCTGACAAGATCAACACATATCTCCTATAACAATCACGAAATAGGATGCAAAAAATGTATGTGAAACACATAACTATATAAAACTATGTATAAAAAGAACCAGGGGTTTCTGAGAGATCTTTAAAAGGAACACCTTTGGGGAAAATGGAAGCAATAACACAATTCTGGAAATTAATGAATATTCCAGGTCATTGATCTAGAAGATCTGAGAAAGCAGAATCCTGTGTGGGAATTTATCAGAGTCCTAAAACATGAGGAATTGGCACATCATGACCTTGAAAATAGAAAAATAATCTGGAACACTCTTTAAAAGCATTTGTGAGACACATCCTAGATCTTCTCTTTGTCACCCACATTGGATGACTGTCTTGCTCCCATTTCTGTTCAAAATTGCAGTTTCCTACTATATATAGGGCAAGACTGAGGCAATCTGATCTGGTACAGGGCATTCTAGTCCAGAGTGAAGCACGAGGATCTTACAAACACAGAGGAATTTCACGTATCTATAAACGCTAAATTTTTGAAACACTAAAGCCCACTTTTTCTACTCAACAAACAGAACACTGGAGCCAGACCTTTGCTCTTAAGAAAAGAAAGAGCATTCTTTCAGAAATCTAACAACGCCTTGCCCAAAAAAGGAAAGCCCTAGAAACAGTGATATGGTCCCAATCAGAGCAACCTTCAGAAAAGTTCATTTCAAATACTTTTATTCATACTATAAGACTATCATCAGCTATTTAGACATCTACTCTTAAATACAAGCAGATACCAAATATAACAAAACATTTGAATCAAGTCTATAACATGAATAGAGAGACCAAAGCAGACAGGATAAAAAGCCCCCTAGAGGGAAAGCAGGCTACGCTGCAGAAATGTGGTAAGACGCTGCTAGCTGCTAAGAAATCAAAATCACACACA